CATCTCTCGGCAAAATGGCTCAAATATTGCCACTTTCAAACCCGATTGCATCCAAATTGCTCAGAATTGGAAGCCTTGAGTCCGGCCCCGGGGTTCACTCTCATATTTCTTCAATTCCTCAGTTCCATGGCTCTTAGGACCTTCTAATATGGAATATTTTGAGTCTATAACTTAACTCGGCGGACAGATTTCTGGCCTAAATACGAGGGTGCACCCTGATGGAACGTGGCGGGGATGGGACTTGACCTTTTTCATGAGTAGCATGTAGTGCTGGAGGATTATCGGAAGTTGGAGGGTTATCGGGCGTTTGACGATTGACTTCAGTCTCAGGTTGGCGTTCGGGGATTGACAAGGTAGTACCCATTCCAAAGTCAACTTTCACTGTCCAAATTTGGAGAGGTGCGAGCTGGTTAATTCGACCGGACGTTCTTAATTGCTAATATGGTCCAAATGACGATGGATTTCACATCCATTATGGTCAAGTCCAATCGGAACTTGAAGGACACCGGACCCGAGGTATAAGTGTGATGATACCCAGTAACCATTGGTAACTGGTCTTCATAAAGTTGCGAACGAACACGGTGTCGCCATCCGTGACACTTGCGCCAAGGTTTGCGTATGGGTGTCCGTGAAAGTGACGCATGAACACATCGTGTACGCAACGCAGCCCAAAAAACGTACACATTAAAAGGCGCCTTTAATGGCATGCATGAAGGTGGCACACAGTGCGTTCAGCTAATCCGTGAAAGGCCGGGTGATATGAAGATGTGCGAATACGCACGATACCATTTTTTTATGAATTCGCAATACATGGGTTGCAAACAACTGTCTCATCTTCTCGATTGCTGCAGGAGTGGTGGCGTGGTTCATCGGGAAAACCTCCATGTACTTGGAATGCGAATCCACAACGACGAGGAACATCTCGCCCATGTTAAGGGCCGGGGCCTGCATAGTCAATATGCTATATGGACCAGGGGCGGTCCGACCATTTCCACGGATGCTGTTTGGAGGCATGGGTTGATATTTCTGGCACTGAGCTGTGGCATACTTTGACCTCACAAACATCTCAAGCTTGTGTCGAGCACATCCATCTTAAGCCACCAATTAAGCGAACCCTCTGGTGAGACTTTTCATCCGGAATATGCCTAGGGTGACCTTCGTGAAGGCCATGGAGAATGTGCTCTCGCCCTTGTGGTGGGACGATCACTCGATTGCCCCACATGAGGCAATTATCTTGCACAGAAAGTTCACTATACGAACTCTGTAGGGTTTCAGTATCCTCCTCCACGCTATTGTGTGAGGGCCATCCTTCCCCCACAATGCCAAGTATCTTGAACAACAGAGGATTGCGTCTAGTCGAAGGGCAAATGTGCGATGCCGAGACAGGAGATGCGTGTCATTGAGTGCTCTTCATGATATCAGAACAGTCTCGGCGGGAACCGGCACTTCGGCAGGAGCGGTATAGGCAAGGGTAAACGACTCAGTGCGTCTGTATTTCCTTGGGCTGTGGTCGATTTGAAGACTAGCGTGTACTCGTACATTGCTAAGGTAAGAGCCCAGCGCTGAATGCGAGCAGACGCTTGAGGCGGTACTGCTCTTTCTTCATTGAAGAGGCTCAGGAGAGGCTTGTGGTCGGTCATTAACTTGAAATGAAGACAATAGATGTAAATGTGAAGCATAGTTACACCAAACACGCAAACGAGGCCCTCCTTTTCGATCTGCAAACACCAGTCGGCCAGAGCCAATGTGTGCGAGGCAAAACTGACTGGTTTTCCGAACCATCTGGTATTCTGTGGGCAAGGACTGCACCGATTCCGGGTGTGTATCGTAAGTCCGACGCCTCAACGAATATTCGGAATTATGAGGCGTCGGATTTATGGGCAATTTTTTTTCAGCCTCATAGTTCCGACGTCTCAAAGGTCCGACGACTCATAAAGAGTTCACCATACTTGACACCGGGAACCAGTCTTGTTCCTAGCGCTGTCTTCATACACCGGGAATCAGTCTTGTTCCTAGCGCTGTCTTCATACGCTCGTAACGAGTGTCAATCAAACGTCGGACTTTCGAGGCGTCGGGTTTTTTGAGGCGTCGGATGTATGTCATGGGCCGAAAAAACCGCTAGAGCTTTTAAACAAAATTGTCGGACTTATGAGGCGTTGGACTTATGGACTTTTTAAAACGCTTTTTTCGGACTTATGAGGCGTCGGACTTACGAGTTGACCCCCCGATTCCATATTGCGATGCATCACAATGCCTGATACGGTGACATCTTTCTCGGGTCGACGAGCACCAACAGGTTCGATAACAGCAGGAGATCTTTGAAAGCACTGTACGCTTCTTTTCCTCAGCATCCCATCCCCATCTTGTGTCCTTGCACGGAAGTCGATACAAGGCAGCAAGGGTTGTCGGTAGCTGCAGCAAGAACTTATTATAAGCAGCCCTAGGTATGCTCTCAGTTCAGGCACATTTGTTGGTGCCGGTGTGTTGTGGATGGCGTTGGCCAGCTAGTTCAAAAGCCAACACAGTCGACAGTGTAGCGAGATGAGACTGGTCATCGGTGCTCGTGATCAAGATATCATCGACGTATACAGTCACACGTGGTATTCCTTGCAAAATGTTCTCGATTGTATGTTCGAAAATTGCGGGCGCAGGAGCAACACCAAAAGGTAAGCGGGTGTAACCAAACAAGCCGCAATGTGTTGTTGGTGACCGCGTAGGCACACGACGCCTCACCCAGGATCAGTTGTTGATAATTTATGCTTGCGAGGGGTCAAGCTCGGTGAATGTAGTTCCACCCGCAAGCAATGCAAACAAATCCGATTTTCGGTATACTGGATACTTATCAAACTTTGCAACCATGTTCAATGCTAGTTTATAGTCCCCGCATACTCTCACGGATGACCGATCTGCATGGCTTGGGGACTGGGACGATGGGTGCTGCCCATTCGGAGAACTCATGTGGTTCGATGAATCCTGCGTCTTGTAGGCTGTCACGTTCTTTTCCCACCAACTCGTGCTTTACAGAAGCGCCGCTCACGGTGCATCTTTGTCGACATACATTTTGGCTGTGGTGCTTTGCTCATCGTTGAACAACGCTGAGTGAGTTTTGAGCACCTCATCGATACTGGTGGCTCCATGGAGAAAATTGATTTGTTGCCAGTCCAGTTTAATTTCCGAATCCAGATCCTTCCACATATGAGCTTGGTCCGTCACCTTTGACAACGAGTAGTGAGAGTTCGTACATCTTTGCGTGGTACTGGTACTTAACTTCAACTTGGTTTCCGAGGACTACCACATGTTCACCGGTGTAAGTGCGGAGTTCAGGCCCGTAGGCTGGGGGGGGGGTCGAACGAACCCCCTTCCCCCCCGCTTCCAAGTTCCGCTCGTTGGTTTTGCTTGGTTTTGTCAATAACGCACTTATAAATTTCGAAATCAAGACAATTATACAACGCGCCGACCTCTTTGCCTACTAGTAAACAATACGCTCGATTCACATCAGTGCGCCTCCAAGAGTTTGTAATGCGTTGACCAATCACAGTGCGCGAAATCTGTCGATCCTTACCGGTACCAAACGCGCATTGGGTCGACAGATTTTGTGCACTGTGATTGGTCAACGCGTTGCAAACTCCTGGGGGCGCACTATTGTGAAACGCTCGTATTCCCCCAACTCCAGATTAATGAAAATAAAATGACTTCTCCACTGGGACTGAACGAAACGCTGCGTTTTCCCGATTTGCAGTTTATTTGTCGAGTAGGGACGCCCCATAGTGACAAGTGGATAATAAAACGAGGGATTTCACAAGTAAAGGGACTTACCTATTACGTCACCTCGTATGCTCGAAGATTTAAACTATCGTAAGAATTAACCATTTCATGTTTGAATCCAGGAAGTGAAATAATTTGGAACATTCCTCAATTTCAGTCCTCAATTTAAGTTTTGAACACAAAGATAACCCACTAGCGGCAGACGGAAGGGAGGCAGACGGCCATCGGCCCTCCACTTTTTGACTGGGAGCCCCCCAACTTTTTGCAGGTTCTGTAATTGAGTGGGGTATAATGGATCAACCTATTCATGGATGATGCCTGATTGTCAACGACTGGCCCTCACTTTGAAAATCGTTCCGCCACCGGTGTGATAAGCCCACCCCTGTGGCCCTCAACCCCCTTCAATTTGGAATGTTTACATGTCGATGAATTCAATCACCACATACCCACACATCTGCAATGGACTTCAAAGACGCACTACATTCTCAGAGATTGTCCCCTTGACCGGGCCATCTCCTGCTGGGTTTACCCACAAAAATCTGAGGAAAATACAATCTAAAATCCACTGGCAAACCTAGTATAAAGTTAGTCCAGCGGCATAATGATTTTTTTTTTCATCTACAGAATGTACAGGCACCTTCAACGGTGGTCTTTTCTAAAGTACTGGTACGTGTTTGGCACTTTTAAGTACAATAAAAGGGGTGAGGTGTCTCTGAAAAAGTTAACCTCTGTCCACCTCCCCCCTTGGAAAGCGTGGACTTCCCCCCCCAAAAAAAAAAATCATGAAAATATATTGCTGCAAACAGTCGTCGGATAGTAGCAAGCGAATCTACATGGAATTTTGTGATTGGCTAAAACAACCGTGGGATTTCTCACTGGGAGAATCCCCGGAAAGGGCGAACCAAGACATTGGCTGACTCGGACATGACACATTCATGGCATACAGACGGGGTAAGAGTAGCACTTCTTTTCGTCGAGGCTTTAGTTTATCATTCTTTTGGCGAATCGGTGCTGCAAAACTTGTCGACGGGAAATGGCCAACTGTTTTCCAGAAGAGGATGGAGATCCAAGGCTGAAAATAATCACAGATGTTTTCCGGCCGTATTTGGTGGAATCTTTCCATTTGACGTCCGAATTCCTGTCCCTTCTTTACAGCAAAAATGGTGTCAATCATGGTAAGCAGTTGGTTGCCTTTTTTCAAGTTGACAGGATGAGATAGGAGCAATTGGGAAATTGATCCTGAAGCAGGGCCCTTCGTATACTTCTCCGTCGATGGAGGAACTAGTGTACCAAGGGTCCTGTGTACGGTTCCAGTTTACGGGTCCAGTTGGGAAAGAATTCCAAGCCTAAGACACTACAAACATCGGCGAACAAAAGAAAAACAGTGCATAATAATGAGCGTCCATTGTTATTGCACCGTACTTCGTTTTTAGATGTTATTAATGGAGTTCCATATACGGACAACACTTGATGCCCCACGTGCACTAATCTTTGAGACTTGTCTGAAAAAAAAAGGTTTCTAAGTTAATGCTTTCGAATCTTCTTAGCTAAATTTCACTTTTTATGACATATTATCACTTTTTGATGGTTGTTCTAACATTTTAAGGGAAAAATAAGTGTTGTCCACATATAGAACTCTTTCCATTGTCAACTTTAGCAGTGACAATGTTTAAGCATTTAGGCCAACCTAGAAAACACTTAGAATTTTCCAGACCAGTCTCATCATTTCCAAATTCCATATACAGCCGCAGCACTTGTCAGCTAGTGCCTGAAAAGGGTGCTGGGAAGGGCTGGTGGCCTGCACAGATTTTAACTAAGGAAATACGTCACACGGGGTCACAGCTAACAATGTGATGAGCATTGTGGGTAAATTCCTGCCAGGCCACGTGAGCTCGCTCACAAACAGCGGTTATCGATTCGATATTTGTTCATTTTCTTTCTCATTGCTGAAAGTATTCGCGCTACACTTTATTCGTTCATCCAATTTTAATCAAGATAAGCAATGATTTGAAATATATTGCCAAAAGACATGTGATCAGTGATACTTAATGAGCAGAATACCACACTGTGACTGTACCAAGCCCATGTTTTTATCACATAGCCAACACTTTGCCCGTGCCATAGCCAAAGTATTGCCAATGGCAAACCAAATAATTTAAAGACCACTTCGCTAACCGGAAGTGCCAACCTCGCAATCACAGGCCATGCACAATGTACTAGCCAGTTACAGTGCAAAGCCATCTGCCCTTCCCGTAAACACGACCTTTCTTATACTCCTCTGTCGATTGAGGAGTGCATGAAGGGCCCTGTTTACAGATCCAGTAGCTGTGCACAAACCGTATTAGACCAGTCTGAACAATTCAGTGTTTTCTAAGTGAATACCTCCATATTTTCACTGCTAAATGTGACTTTTTAGGGCATTCCATTGCTTTCAGATGGCTAATGGGTCACTCTATTCAACAGCTGTGCAACATTTATATGTTATGATCAGCCAATCTGTATTACCGCATGATTGTTCTGCGCCATTGGTTGATCCTGTATTAAATCTGCAATTTTACTTCCCTTTTTAAAACAACCATCCACAAGCATGAATTGTTAAGAAAAGGCAGTTGGTTGATGTTAGAATTATGAACAATCCCGCAATGAGATCAACAGATCACGAAAGATCAACCAATTTTGTATATTGACCAATCGCGCCCAACGTATCCACTTTCTGTGCATTTTTAAATAGTAACACCAGAAATTGCTACATGTACATGTCAGAGGTGAACTGTTGTGACTTCAGAGGTATCAGGATCCTTTCTGAGGAGTTAATACGGACAATTCACTATAGCAAACCTCCAAGAGTTTGCAACACATTGGCCAGTCACAATGCGCTAAATCTGTCGACCCTTTCCAAATTCGTATTAATTGGGTTGACAGATTTTGCAAATTGTGATTGGCCAGCACATTGCACACTCTTAGAGGGGCTATATTATGTAACGCCCGTATTGATGGAATTCTCACAAAATCCATTCGTATGGTATGCCATGCCATGGCAATCTTAAGGTTCTTTGGATCAGGCAAAAATCTTATCATTTGGCACATTGGATTGGGTGTCCATGCCTGATCCAGTGCCAAAAATATAGTCTCTTTGTTTTTTCCTTCATGGTAGAAACTATGGGAAATATAGAGCAACTTCTTCGTGAAGAATCTCCTGTCAACGTGCTTCTTGACCGCCTGACCAGATTGAATGGCAAAGGGACGTACACAGCTTTTATTGAATGCCTGAGAGATAAAGGTGAGGTCACACCAATAATGCCTGCATCTTTTCCGATCACACTGTTTTTGGTACTTACGTTTGAGTATTTTACAATGTTAACACTTGACATAAACACTAAGAGGAAGAATTCACTACAAGACTTCTTTGCCGCGTCTCAACGTGTATACGTTGCAATGGTAGTTGGCCACTGGCTAAAACATAGCTATAGAGTTGAAGACTCTTTTTCTTTATTTCTTGACAGAAAAAGTTTAAATGGTCCGGTTGTTGGCTAGAACAACAATTTTGTTACTTGTAGGTGTTTTGGGAAGGCAAAGCAAATATCAGTATGCATTTCAAAACTTGAAATGTCTGTGTTTCATTTGAAAAATTGATCCATTTCTGCAACTGGGATGCAGCCTGTTCTTATCAGTGGGTCAGATTCCCTTAGAAAATGTTCCCAACCAGTGCAGACTGTTTCAGCTAAGGGGGTGTGTTGCAGAATGCACTCTCTTAGATGGCATGAAGGGTGTTTCCACAAAAAAAATGAAATTTTGAATTAACGTTTGTAAAATGAAGCCTGGCTTGTTTCATGTGTAACTACAAGTATGTATCAATTAAAAACATGTCACTTCAGTTAACAGTTTCTTTGCTTTCAAACGGTGTGCTCTGTGATCTTTTGCCTAGAATCATGCACATGCCTAGTGAAATAGCCAGGATTAACTTGCCTCACTATGACCAATAGTTATAACTTTAGGATATTATTTCAATATGTTGAGTAATAAACATAAATTTATTTGCTGATGTCATGTAATCAATATGCACACATATGGTTTTGTAAGCATTTTTCAAAGTTTTCCAAAGATTCATTGAAGTGAAGCCTTGATCGTTGTATGGACCTTCTCAGCGGATGCAAAATCAGTGACAGATCATGTTGCTAAATTTGCCACCAAGTTACAGGATTCAAGACATGGTGTATCATTGTTGGCATTGATGACAATGCTCTTCGTCATTCTCTTTCCCTTAGGGAGTGGCTTCATCGCCGACTTCATTGAAGGCGTCCCAGGCATCGAGGACGAATCCCACAATTTGTGGAGGCACCTGATACAAGCCTTCCATGACTCCCTCAACAAAATGGCTCCATGTGAGATGTTGCCCTACCTGCACTGCCTCTTGGAAGAGGAAAAGGAGAGCATTCGACAGACGGCCCAGTACCACGGCGACATCAGGGGAGCTGTTCGTCTTCTCGGCATTATTCCCAAGAGAGGCAAAGATGGATTTCGGCAAATGATAGAAGGTCTAAGACACACAGGTCTAACAAAGCTCGCTAACGAACTGACTGACCTTTCTTGTCCATCTAATTGCACAGGTACATGTGTGTGCTGTAAATCTTTGCATTATCTGTGTTACTGTAAAAGAGAAAGGGGATATTACATACATGTACGCATGTCACTTAAATTCATGAAAACTTTCACCATATTTATTCTAATTTTTGTTTTGCTTGTCTTCAGGTTTCTATCTTGTTTTTTTAATAAATTGCATTCATTTCTAAAATTAGCTGGTAAAATCTAACATAAATGTAGACAAGATGTATTACTTAGCATAGAACTTTGCTGTATTGTGTAATGTCTCATTTGATAGTCTTCAAATATGTTTTTAGAAACCTTAATCTGGTCTTGGGTTTTTGAATGAGTGGATGTACAATGCATATATTCACTTATATTGGAAATTGGTACAGCGAAATTTATGGGTTCTTATATACTACTGATTGTTGTTTTGATTTTTCTAGATAATTGTAGTACCAACAATCTTTCTCCTGAAGATGTTGAAATGGAGGACTGCTGTTGTAGTTCAAGCATGGACACAAGCATCATTGCTGACAAGCCCAACATTTTCGAGAGCAGCAGCCCAGTTGAGAACACCAGCGGATGCGACCCAACATGGACTGGGGCTTGTTCCCCGCAATCCAGCACGGAAGAAGGGGAGACCTGCGACGCTGACTTCTCAAGTGGTGATGAGCCCAGAGCTCTCAAGCTGCGTGGCTACCAGGAGGAGCTGGTGGCAGCTGCGCTGCAGGGCAAGAATTGCCTGGTCGTGGCCCCCACTGGCTCAGGCAAGACTCTGGTGGCTGCTAGGCTGGTCAAGGCATTCCTCGACAGGGAGGATGGTGTAGGGCAGCGTTCTGGAAATCCTGCTCAGGTCGAAGCAGGTGGATCCAACAAGGTAGTCTTCCTCGTCAACAAGGTGAGTCTTTCGGATGACCCTCCAAACCAATTGAATATACATGAATGCTCCAGGAAAATACTCTAAGTTCACATCACTGCAAGGTGCTCCAATATCTGCCTGACCCAAACTGTTATGCACTCTTGGAAATCAAAAATGATCCTTGGCACTTTGTGATATGGCTGCCTCTAGCTATTATCCAGGCCACTTTCCTACATCTGTTCGGAATCTGTACTGATCAGTTTTGGCATTCTGCAGTAATTTCCATGGAAGAGGTTGTCACAAATTGGTGATATCTAGGCTGAAGAGGCATCAATTACACTCAAGGAGCAAGGCCCGGCATACCCTGTCCCCTTTTCAGGTACCTTTGGTGGAGCAACAGCGGAACGTCTTTCAGAGGTACATGAGCCAGAACAGCATTATGGGCCTGAGCGGCGAGATGAGCAACTGTGGCTCACTGGTCGACCTGTTGGAGGAGCATGACGTGCTGGTCATGACAGCCCAGATTCTGCTGAATGAACTGAAAGGGACTAAGGACGACAATGAACGCATGGAGCTCTCCAGTATTGGCCTCCTTATCTTTGATGAGTGCCATCACTGCCAGGTACAATAATGTAGCTGATGTACATGTACATTTATATGCTACGTGCTGCTTCTTTTCATTTGTCCAGCCAGTTATCCTGTCATACATGCTAATCTCACTTTCTATTTAAACCTTTTGTAAAGTTTACATACAAAGTCCTCATAATTCTTTGAGGAATGGAGGAAGCCAGCATTTGCATAACTATATTTCAAGTAGATTTATGGAATGATTAAACTATAAATTGTTTTTTGAAATTCTTATCATTAAAATCCAATTTTAATGTTATGTTCATAGATGAATGCTTTATTTGTATATATACTCGTTTAATTTGTTTTTAATTGTTTAGTTTGTCTTGTTTGTAATTGTCTGGTCCAGATGAATTGTATCGTTGGCCTTGTAATGTTCTGCTTAAGGCTTGTGAGTAATTTTGATCTTTGTTTAGTCATGATAAAGTTTGATTTGACCCCTCTGTCAAATTTTCATATTTTGAGGTTTTTTCCAGTATCAGAATTTGAATTTTTAGATTTTTTTTCTTGCGCATTTACAGAAAGGCGATCCTTACAACAGAATCATGGCTTACTACCGTGATATGAAACTGTCCTCTCCAGCAACTCCAAGACCCCAGGTAAGAGTGCTAGCCAGCAAAAGACATTATCTGCTCAATTCTAATTCAGTTTGAAACAAGCTTCATTTCCACAAAACAAGAATGGTAAATTTTAACGAATGAGAAATCACTGTCCAAAATAACATGTATATGAATATTTAACAAACAACAATAATTCCCCTACATGTATATTTGTGAACACATCATAGGTTGTTTCAAGGTTAAATACAAATTAAGATGCCACAGTGACCCAGATAAATTTGGAATAAAGCGGCGGCTGAAAAGGAAGTTGGTTCTTTGTGTATCGTCAAGAAAACAAATTGCGCGATTGGAGTTGAGGGTATGGAGTGAGCTGTGTTGAAGGGATGGTTCTGGTTTGAAGAATGCATACAATCCACTACTCTTCAAGGGTATGTGTTACAACAGGGAGTTAATAAAATGTGTTATAATGAGCATTGGAAAGCTAAAGCAAAGGATTTATATGAGAAGTTTTGTTGTTTACAAATGTAAAGATCTTCATGAATCCCAATGAACAAGCTTTGAGTACGGTGCCCAATAAAGCAAAGTATGCCTTTATCAAGCTGTCAGTAGGTCAAAATGTGCCCTTGCATATCTCAATCTTTGTCCCCTTGCAACACCAGGTACTTGGGCTGACCGCCTCTATGGGGGTGGGCAAAGCAAGCACCGCCTACGAGGCAGAATACCACATCATGAAGATGTGTGCTAATCTGGACGCCGAGGAGATCTGTATGGTTCAGGATCCACGCAACCAGGAGGAGCTGCGACAGATACGGGACAAACCAGAGGAAGGTACGTCACCAAGTACAAGTAGTTGACAAAGCTGATAGGATATTGTCATATCTTGGATTGGATTGAGAACTGAGGCTGAACTGTACATAGGCCTATAGATGCAACCTATGCAATGCACGCACACACAAGTAGCCCAGTAACGCAGCAGCTAGGCTAAGACTTCAATGACTTTGAGGTGAATTTACAGTTACAATACGTAGTTTCGTTATTTTTACTGTGTTACTGAATTACACTGTATTATATATAATGCATTATTGCAAGTTGTCGTTTAGACACTCAAGCACTGTGCTGGTGTCCTGCAGGCATGTCTTTATACTACAACAGATTGGGTCATTCAAATTAAACGCACGTTGTATAAGGTGATAGTGATTAGCTTTGTGTATTTTGGACTCGATTGTCTTGAACCATGAAAAGACTACGAAGGCTGAGTTCAGATTTTTTTAAATTCAGGTTGAAATAAGATCAGTGGTAATGCCTTACTCTATAATTAAACTGTTACGTTTGCTGCTTTTGTGTACGTGAATGTTTAAACAAGTAAGTGTCCCATTGATGCCTATTATATTGCCAGATATCTTCGAGGTGCCAGGCCGCAAGAACAATGGATTTGTACAAGAGGTCCATGGCATAATGGCAAAGATTGAAGCCAAAATATCACAGACTCCAGGTAGTTAATTAGGAATCCTTTCGTTATAATTCTTGACTTGAAAATCATTAAGTGCCATTAAAATCAGGAACATCCCTTTTAAAAATCATATAAAAGTCATGTTGACCCCTTGCTGTTGGTACTCGGTAATGATTCCTTTAGCACAGCAAGGAACTTTTTGAAAAATGTGAAGTGCAATCCCTCTGTTTGCTTAACATTTCCTGATGAGATTTTCCTGATGAGATGATGAGATTTGATGAATCGCTCTATGCGCATGCCATAGTTTTCCTAACCAATTTCCCCTGTTGTAAAAAATATCAAAATGGTCACCTAATCAGCACACTGAATGTTTCTTCTTTTTACTTTTTGATTCAGAGGCTCATGGAGATTGCTAAAAAAAATCAGATGAAAAAAAGATCAAGCATTTCTATTTCTATTAATTCTATATCTACCCAGTAAACAAAGTTTATTTAAAACTGTGGTCGATAACATAATATATATTTTCTGTTTTGTAAAGAGGGCAACTCTTGGATGAAACAGCCTGCTTCGATGCCAAGGCGAGGCACCCAGGGTTATGAAAACTGGCTGGTTCAAATGGGGAAATATATCATCCAAAGTGTCCCGGATGAACAGGCTCGCAGAAGACTAATCACCTGCAAGGACCATTTGAAGGTAGGCATGAATAATAAGACATGGTGAGTGTACAGTTTGACCTGGCTCAGCATATCTCAAGGCAAAGTTGGACTGTGACACATAAGCTGGACTAGTATGCAGCTTTTCATCAGTTAGGCAGTGTTCAGAGTAAATAGTGTTCAGAACTTCAGGTATTACAGGACTGTCAGACCATAGAGGAAGGACACAGAAGGAGTTTGAACTGCCCGGGCTTTAACATCTGGCCAATTACCGCTTTCTGGCATGCCTGGTATGTCCATAGCCAGAGCGCAGAGAATGCTTGCTACGCACCATGTGTTTCACAACTACGAAATCCCTTTGTACCCTATGATTGCTGCTGCAATTTTTCACTGGTAATCTGCATCCTTAAAACTTTGTGTACTGAGGTATAGGACATTGAATATTTATGCCTTTGTTGGTACCTGGTATGATCTCATGACAACATCAAATGTAATGCTTGCGCAGTTGCTTGTGCCCTAAATTTATAAGTGCAGTCATTGCCCTTAACCACTTCCTGCCAGGGACTCCGAAATCGGAGACGTATGGTTTATATGCGTGGCCGGGGTCTCCGAACTGGGACAAAGGAAACAGGGTCCTGTAACATAAGACTGTACTCCAAACAAAAGATGAGCCACACAGCACCACTGCACGCTAATCTGGCCCCTATTGAAAAGAGGTCAGCAGTGCACTGAGCCAGGTTCATGAACAAAAGACAGTTATATAGCACCGCACAATCTGAGCTCTGTTTACAAGGCTGCAGGCCTGGCTGAAATACTCGGGCGTCAATGACGGTCACCTGTCAACCTAGAATAGTGCCTAAAGGTTACTTCGTGCGGCTATACACGACCATTAAATGAAATGATGAATTTTTGAACGATTTTGAAAACAGACTGATAGTCATGCCGGCCCAGTATCATCAACATTGAAAAATGCCCCTGCACGAAGTGGTTGATGGGCTCTTTTTTCTGGAGTTATTTTGGAAATAAATAGCTCGGTTGTTTACAAGATTTTGTGTTTTGTTTGAATCATTTTTATTGTGGCATTAGTACAAAAGAGTATTTTATGAGATTTCACGATCACTCCCTATGATGAAATAGAACATTTTGTTCCTAATGAACTAAGCTTTCCAGTAGTAGTGAACATTTGTTGGCCAGTCTTCGCCGAATTCGTACCAGGTCTTTGAACACTGACGTATTGGATGGAGGAGAATAAAATTACAAACTTTGCATGGATACTGGAACAGTGTGTCAACATTTCAAAAGTTTATTTAGGATGGCAAAAGCAGATCTAATATCAGGGATTTTGCTTTCTCTATTTCCTGGTCACAGAGATAATTTGTATTTAATTGCAAGCAAAAAACTACAAGTATTGCTAGGATATTACTGGCCCTGCTTGTTCGGCTGAGATGCTGGCAGTAATCAGATATTTTTGAAATGTTTTCTATTATTCGTCTGACTCGGCAGCGACCATCATTGAACACTTTGAAGTGCCTGAGTTGAAGCTCCTTCTGTGTCCTTCCTCTATGGTCAGACAGCATTTTGATCACTTCTAGGTTGAGCTTATGCATCTTCAGTATAAGGATACTAAACACTGATGTGGTTCATTGTGATAACGAGAATGTGGTGATAAATGCTGAATGTGAAAGTCTCACACCAATTTGATTTCAGGAATACAATGACTGCCTCTACATCAACCGTGATGCAAGGACAAAGGATGCACTGAACCACATCAAAACCTTCATAGAGGGTCTTCAGTTTGGAACCAAAAGCCTCAATCCAGACGAACAGCAGTTGGTAGAATTATTTCAAGGTGACAATAGATGGATTACTCACTGGAGTACGGAGTAGCAGTTGGTAGAATTATTTCAAGGTGACAATAGATGGATTACTCACTGGAGTACGGAGTACCAAATAAACTGTTTTTGTGGAACTGAACTATAGTTTGAAAATTACCCGTACAAATGCTGATTAATTGTAAAGCCACCAGCTTTTACTTGTGTGTTTGTGATATGGAAGTTGAAATGAAGTGTGACACAGTAACAGGAATTTGATGTACCCTTCTTATTATTAAAATCAGACTTACTTGGAATATTGTATACATGCAGACCTGCATACAACTAGTACGATTTAGCCGAAATTCTTGAAAATACGATCATACATTTTTTCCCCCATAAAATATGGGTTTTGACAAATTTGACACGCCTGAAAAAAGTCGCAATTCAACAGTTGCAAGTGTACATTATTCCAGAAAAAAACAGCTGCAAATGTACACATGTACATGTCCATATACGTTTGCATACGTACATGTACAATGTAAATGGATGTGCGTACAGGGTATGCACGCGTGTGTACAAACCTCGTGTGTAAGCAGCATCCAGCAACCACCCAATCATTATGTTGTGATTGGCTGCCCATGAATTCGTGTGATTATTTTATGTGTGAAGCAGAGTGTTGATGCCATCTAGTCCGAGTTACTCGGACTAATGTCAGACCCAATCCAGACAAGTTGTCAAAATGATCACGGGGAAGAATATGCAATTTTTTTACAAAATACCATTTTAATGAGAAATACCACTTTTGAATTTTCAGAATGCAGTTTTGTGATCCAAGAGGTTGGCAGGTCTGCACATGTATCAGACATTGACAGTGATACTGTCATTCAATCATGTTTCCTGTTTATTTCTAGAAAGACTATGTTGTATTCTACATTTCTGAAGTGCCTCAATTTCACTCCTTTTTCATATTTTCCCTTCTGAATAATAGTCTAAAACTCTTTAAGAAAAGTGTAAAGTGTTGTTTAGTGGAACAAATAGGTTCGGTCTACATTCTGATTAAAAGTGTAGTCCAACTTCAGTGACGTGAGCACATCTTCACAGTTATATCTATCAGTGAAATGTAGCATATTTATACCATTTTGTAATCATGCATATAGGCAAGCTGAAATATTTGAAGCTACTGGCTGTAAATCCAGACTCAAAACTTCAGAATCCACTCTTGGCGTGTCTGACCAAGCTCCTGACGGACACATTGGTCGGGAACTCAGATTCCCGCGGCATCCTCTTCTGCAAGACCCGCGCCACGGCAAGGGCCTTGCACGCATGGCTGGAGACTGCGCCCGGCCTTCAGTGCCTACGGGCAGGCATACTGACCGGAACTGGAGGGAGTGAAGGTTAGTGTTACTTTGCACTTCTGGCAGTTGCACAGAACTTTGCAACTCTAAGAAAACAAAATCAAAATACATAGTGCTTAGTTCCTTGACCTATTCTCTCTACTACCGAATGATTTTCAAGCTTTGGGAGCTGCATGGTAGCAGTCTATGAACAGGGAAAGAATCTTGTCGTGACCACATCTCCACTAATCCTGCAGAACCAAGTTTTTCAAGAAATGGAGATATGCTTTTCACAAATACTTTTTACTTCATTTAGAGGTACTTAAAAGGTCATAACTGGTACATTTGTGTGCGCCACCGTCCCATTTGATACTTGTGCTTGGAAGTGCAGACAAATTGGCCTGCCCCCCTCTCCCGAAAACATGCCTTCATGCCCAAATTGTATGCCCCTCACTTTTTTTTTTGCAAGCAATTTTGAGCCAGTTCAGTGCTCCTACAGCTAGTGCATACCCCAAATAAAATGCAGCTGATGAGGTCATTCAAGAACAGCACCACACACTCATGATGTCAGTCAATCCCCTGTCAGCACAGCTACATGCCAACCTGTACACATAGTTTGGTTCCGAAATGACCGTGACTTTTGTTTGAAATATCAAATTGGCTCATCGGAAGCACCCTCACGTGAGGACAGTGGTTTGTAAAACGTAGGGTTCAAAACGGAAGAAGCCCAGTTTAAAAGGAAAAAAATCTGCAAATTGACACTTTTCAATTGTTGGAATGGAGTTATAAATAATTTGAACAGATTGTCAAAACCAGAAAATATTTGGTAGGTTTCAGGAATTCAGCAAAGTGATCGGTGAAAGTTGGATAACAGCACTTTTAATTCTCATCATACTGTTGTGTAGCATGTAAGTGGTAGTAATGTGCATTTATAAAGATCAAATTTCTGTGCACACAAGCAGCTCCTTGAATATCGCCCAGGCAAGGTTTTATGGAGGCTAGTTTCATTTTGTCCTCTTTCTGAATCTCACACCAATTCTCTCATGATGGAAAAATAGAAGGAAAGGAAGTGGCAGGTACTTTTAAATCATTCTTTATTGGGAGATAACCTGTTACTGACAAATTTCTTTGCCGAAATTCTTTTTTGTTGTTTGAGCATTTGTTAAAAATTTCCAAATGCTTTGCACAATGTCAGAAATAAAAAGAATATGAAGTTCAAATTAAAAAGGCTACAATTTTTGGATAGACAGATTATGATGGAGGGTAGGGAATGGATGTAGCCCACCAGTGTCAACCTAGGGATGCCAGAAATCATGCATTAATTATGATTCCCAGAGTTTTCATTCCAGGATTTGTGTATTTACAGGCATGACTCAAACCAGGCAAGGGGAGTTGCTGGATATGTTCCGTGAGGGCAAACACAGACTGATCGTTGCCACCTCGGTAGCAGAGGAAGGACTGGATATCCAGCAGTGTAATGTGGTCATATGCTGTAACTACATCTCCAACGAGATTGGAAGAGTCCAGGCCAAAGGTAGAGAAATGGCTGTTTGTCTAGAGAAGGGCCTATCAGGATGCATCATCCCCTCCTTTGTTAATGATAGTAACAGTATACATGTAGCCGATTCATCCAAGAGATTTGAGCTAGGTAGACTTGAATTTTAAGGCACAATTCCTACAGCAGTGTTGCAATAAGTTATGGACATGTGTCCACCTTTCTGTAACTATACTAGTTGTAAATTTAAAAGCAGCTTTAAAGGCATTGTCTTTTAAATGTCACAGAGGAGTTACACGTTGCCTTCTTCATATTTTTTTATTCTAGTGAGAACTCTCTAATGTTCGGCTTTATTGTGTTGCTAATATTTAGCTTGGTGATGAATAATCAAGGCTCACAACAAAATTGTAGACAAGATTGGGATCAAAGTCTGGAAGGGTTTGCAGGGAGGTCATACATTTTGAGAAACTTGAAGCTCTGAAAATGAGCTCATCATCCAATATTCTGTGTCACAATATTGGTTTGATGATTTTGCTTGCACTTCGGTTCTCGCTTTCTTTTGTATGACTGCGTGTTGTTAGGAAGGAGCAGGGCCCGTGGTGGGAAGTTTTTCTTGGTGATATCAGAAGAGCTTGCCCTGACCAGCCGTGAGTTCCGAAACCGCATCCGTGAGAAGATGATGTACAAGGCTACAGAGAGCCTTCAGAAAATGCAGGAAATGGACAGAGAAAAGTTTCTTGAAAAGGTACGAGTACATTAACTTGTATTCCACAAAATAAAAGTGACCACACTTGTTTTCCCTTTCTCTTTTTGCTTATTTTGAACTTGCCTTTCATCATAATGGCTAGTTGATATGATAATGATATCAAATTCCTCACAACTCAAACTCTTCTGATCAGCACCATTATTAGGAATACCACAAGTTGCAAAATGACATCTCATTGCAGTGACTGGCAAAATGACAACCTTACTATCTTTTCAACCTCATTATATTTTTAAATGTTAATTGTTTAATTAATTTATTACTTTAGTTTGTAAAGTGCTGTGTTCTTAGTTGAGCGCTCACTAAATGCTTATTATTATTATTATTATAATCCACTTGCTACACAGTTTATAACTACATGTATCTCTACACTCTGATTGTCAATGCTGGTGTATTCAATAAGAATCTTTCACTATTGCTTGTCTGGATACATCAGTGCAGTGACGGGGGGGGGGCATCCCCTGATAGTTAATTCCAGTTAGTAAATAGAGCTTCAGTCAGCAACTGAATCCAAAAGTAGTACGTAAACAATACACAGACCTGCCAACTAGTATGATTTTTGCATATTTTGTATGAAAAATTGATGAAAATACGACCATACATTTTTATCACCACAAAATACCGTCCGGATTTCGATAATTTTGACATGGACAGAAAAAAAGAGGGCGCTGTGTGAAATCTATGCTAAAATAGCTAAAGCGGCTGCAAGCAAGACTAAGCCATATGTCACGCGGTTCGATATCACAAACTCATAAAGTAGAGCGTTCGTGATTGGTGTACACAATGTACACATGCCCCTGGTAGCGCACGTATCAAATCAATTGGAACGTCACATACCAAACTGATCGGCATGCATTGTGGAGTGTACGTTCGTGTGCATGCAAAAAATTTTCCCCACGTAATCGTAAAACTGCATGGATGAAGATGCCACTGTCTGGACATCTCTATTGGTAGATGGGGCTGTTTGTTGGTCATGTTGGCATTCTTGGCAAGTCCGAGTCGGGCATGTTTCACTCAACCATCCTGGCTTTTTGTCTATACCAGACCACCATACATATTAGTTGGCTAGACCTGTCATATCTGATCTATTTCTGGAAGAGTGCGATGCAGTTCTTCGGTGATTCTTTCTTGTGTCTCTATCTGCTGCGAAGCAGAATAGAGACAGCTTAACCCCTTCGCTATGGAGGACTGACACCATTGTGTGAGGATCAGTGCATACCACACATACAGTCTATTCACCACACAGCTGCTGGTTCAATGGGGCCTGCTGCTGGACAAAGCCCTCCATTCAGGGCATACCACAGCCCAGATGTTGCGGTCAAAATAATCCCACCGTGAAGGGGTTAATTGGCTTAATGGACTATTGTCGGACCTCTGTCTTGAATACTGTTTTTTTATTGGCCCAATTGCGATCACATGACAAGACAACATAACTGCATGTCACACTCACCGTTGGAAATCACATCAGCGGGTGTAGGATATCATACACAAGTAGGATATTGCGCAGAACCTCTAACCACTAATGTTCAAAGATTCCTTTTTTACCCTTAATTCCCCTTAGAAACAAAAAGCATAAAGACAGATGTGAAAAAGCAATTTTTGACTGCTGTGATGTGGGATTTGATGTTTTGAACATCCTCAGTTATTCAGTTATGCATAAGGCTGAGCTTCGCCTAAGGCACTATGGGTCTGTCACGTTTCAAAACATCATATATCACATACCAACGTCACATACCAAACTGATCGGCATGCATTGTGGAGTGTACGTTCCTGTGCATGCAAAAACTTTTCCCCACGTAATCGTAAAACTGCATGAATGACGATGGCTTCATCTTCTAAAAAAGACACCCGAACACAGAAGCAATCTTTCAAAAGGGAATATATGGAGAAATTTTGATTCATATTACATGTACCTCCCAGAGAGGTGAACATTACGCTCGCTGCACTTTGTGTAGTTCTGACTTCAGTATCGCGCATGGGAGTTATGATGTTTCTTGGCACATTGAAAGCAGTAAACACCGCGACATCACTAAAACGAAGAATATGACCCACAGTATCAACACCTCTCAAAGCTGGCTTTCACCATTCTGTCCATCTCCCACAACAATGCTGAAGACAAGAGAATTTTCATCATAGTTCGCAAAAATGCGACCGACTCAAGATCCAGCCTAAGCACTGCAGTCTTGTCAGACTCTCTCACAAACAAAATATACACCCAAGCCACAGCCAGGCCATGGCAGCAACATGCACACCAAAATGAATTGTTGCGTAAATGCAAGAAAGCAACTGCTGTGAGCAACACCAGGAAATAATAAGGTCCGTTTAAGCCTGCACGAGTAAGTATTAAAGTTCAAATCGTATGTAGTCACGCAAAGGTACTTGTAAGTTTGTCTTTCCTGTTTGGAAAAAACACATTTGTATTGAAAAAAACACATTTTGGAACCTCCAAATACACTTTTGCGATTCTAAAGGTTGGCAGGTCTGAATACATGTTGGCTGTCAGCATTTCCTCTGAAGCATGAAATGCAGTGTACCACGGATAACTTTGTGAATTTTACGCGACACGAGATTGGAGAACAAGTTACAAGTCGGCAAATTGACTCTGGCACACCCCCCAAAGAAAATGCCATCACTAATAGCCACTGTCTGGACATTTCTATGGGTAGATGGGGCTACCTGTTGGTCATGTTGGCATTCTTGGCAAGTCAGAGTCGGGCATGTTTCACTCAACCATCCAGGCTTTTTGTCTATACCAGACCACCATACATATTAGTTGGCTAGACCTGTCATATCTGATCTATTTCTGGAAGAGTGCGATGCAGTTCTTCGGTGATTCTTTCTTGTGTCTCTATCTGCTGCGAAGCAGAATAGAGACAGCTTAACCCCTTCGCTATGGAGGACTGCTACTACCACACCACTGTGTGAGGATCAGTGCATACCACGCATACAGTCTATTCACCATGCAGCTACTGGTTCAATGGGGCCTGCTGCTGGACAAAGCCCTCCATTCAGGGCATACCACAGCCCAGCAGTTGCGGTCAAAATAATCCCACCGTGAAGGGGTTAATTGGCTTAACCCCGAGAAGGGGTTAATTGGCTTAACCCCGAGAAGGGGTTAATTGGCTTAATGGACTATTGTCAGACCTCTATCTTGAATACTGTTTTTTATTGGCCCAAGTGATCACATGACAAGACAACATAACCGCATGTCACACTCACCGTTGGAAATCACATCAGCGGGTGTATGATATCATACACAAGTAGGATATTGCGCAGAACCTCTAACCACTAATGTTCAAAGATTCCTTTGTCACCCTTAATTCCCCTTAGAAACAAAAAGCATAAAGACAGATGTGAAAAAGCAATTTTTGACTGCTGTGATGTGGGATTTGATGTTTTGAACATCCTCAGTTATTCAGTTATGCATAAGGCTGAGCTTCGCCTAAGGCACTATGGGTCTGTCAGGTTTCAAAACATCATATCCCACATCACAGCAGTCAACAATTGTTAATATTATCACTTTAACTGCTACAGGACGGGTAGTTCAGTTCTTTTTTGTACTGCTACATGCTGTTTGCTTTGATGACTTTAATTTGTCTGTTTCCCAGATAACTGAGATTCAAAAGAAGAACCGCACAGAGCGTAGGGTCAAGGAACGCGGCCTGGCCCGTCTGACGCATGATGAGAAGCTACGAAATGTCAGCCTGCTGTGTCGCAAGTGCAGCCACCATGTCTGCACACTGGACGAAATCCGCTGCATTGAGAACGCCCACCATGTGGTGCTCAGCAAGTCCTTTACCAAGCAGTGTAGGCTGGTCCCTCACGATAAGCCCGTCAAGAAGACGGACTTTGAGAAGCTGCAGCGCATCCTCTGCGGGAGCCCCACCTGCTCCCAAGAGTGGGGCATCCAGATGAGGTACAAGAGCTGTGTTGTCTTTGCTTTGACCCCAGTCAACCTGATATTCCAGACATCCACCGGGAAGAGACAGAGCCACCGGCACTGGAAACAAGTGCGACTGTTCTACGCAATAGCTGAGATGAACATTGATGAATTGTTTGATGTGACCATGGAGGATTATGAGGATAACTTTGAGGATGATGACGATGACATCTGGGCACCGAATTAAACTGTCACACTTGCCCACCTAAAAACACATTTTTCATAGCATCACAAGATAACAACATACATATGCATGTAATAAGGATAAGCTAGTACTGACCAGACACTCGGCACCACCATCCCCTCATCACTCGGAGGTTAGTGGACCTGTAAAGATTCCGGCAGGGCCAAGAAGGCAGAGACAGGGTGCAGTGTGACTGGGGGATGCCCCGATGGACTGTCCCTGCGAAATAACTCTTTATGTGGTATACTTGAAATTACTATAAGATACGCATTGTTAAAATCTTACCAGAAAAAATACCTTCGCAAAAAATGTACAAGTTTTGGGGCACATGTAACTGTATGTGCCCGTAACACTCCAGTTGTGGTAATAGTGCCCTCCCCCAGACCAGATGTTCTTGACTTTAATGCACTTAAATCACTCCCGAACCAGACAGACATGTCACCCTATCAATGTTTCTGGACTCAGTCCTTGAGAACCTAGTTGTATTTAACAACTCAATTATAATTTTTATCTGGCTGCACATTTCCAACTATTTACAAACACAATTTCACCATGATTTTATCTAATGTTTTATTGAACTGAGTGGATTATTATTTTGTTGAGTTTGTGGTGATAATTCAGTCGACTGAACTTCTCACCGAGTTTATCTTATTTGGTAAAACAAACTTCTGCTTGCCGTGCTGGGAACAGTTCTGCCATCTTCATAAAGTTTCACATTTATAAAAGCTCATCGTGCTATTGTGCTGTAGCGGCGTAACTAGGGAGGCATGTACCCCCTCCCCATTTGAAATCCGCAAATAATCTTTGTTGAAATGCAGCTGCAGCTTATTTTCTTGTGGTGCCCCCTTGAAAAAAACATGCACTCCACATGTGCCCCAGCCCCCCCCGACATGTAGCCATAGTTATGCCACTGTTGTGTTGTCTGTGTATGTGACATTTTATGTAGTAAAATACTGAACACAAATTGTAGTAATTTATACAAAAGTATATTAACCTGACATATTTGCTAATATCGTCACATCCTTTTTTCCCGCATGTTATGCTTATAGTTGTTTGAATACCAATTTTGTGAAATTGGACATATCGTTCTCCTGCAGCTCCTGTTTTGCTGAAAAAGATCAGCTAAAAATGTGTGCGTTTCATGTTGCATTATGTTACTGAAGTGAAATGGAAGGGCATACTTCCAAGTGAAATGAACTGGATATAGATATGCTGACCATTGATTACAATGAAAGCACTAACACGGCAGGTCATATGCCAATTGCTAACTGTATGCGAAAATGGCATTAAAATAGTTGATGACGTGTATTATACAATGTAACCTAAGACAATGTGTTGGTAAAAATAAATGCTATGAATTGAATGCAATTAAATACCGGGTGGTAATTTTAATATATGCTGTAGTTCTTACAAAGAAATCATTGCTAACAGAAAAGTGGTTATTTTGAAGTGTTCACAGATGCATATACATTTACTAGTTCATGAAATAAAATAACTAAAGTTGAGATGGTTGTCTTCAGGTTTGATTTTAAGATTCACAATGTGGCAACAGACTAATGTATGAGACAGTGGGTGGTTAGGTCGCTTCAAGGCAAAAATTAGGCAGAGATACTCTTATTTCAGAGATTTGTATACAGTACAGCAAACATTTTGGATATCTACTTCACCGAATACCTTAAACGACAAATTGTTTCTAATACGACACACACATTATTACAAACTTGCCCCCCCCAAACGAAACAAAAAAAAATTGGCCAAATGTTTTCTCAAGGTTTTCGACCCTTCAGCCTTCAGGAAGATGTATTTCAAAGTATTTTCTTTTTCTTTGACGTTTTCCATTATCCTGAATTCATAATGCTATCCATTGTGAGATGATTTTAAGAACTGCCTAAAATGAATTGCATATAAATGTATATGTACTCCAAACCAGATAATACACGCTGAAAGTAAAAAAAGGCAACATTATAAGCATAGAGAACCCAATTGCAAGACCTGCTTTATTTTACAAGAGCCGATGACTTAGAATGCTTTCCATATATAACCTTCACATTCAAGATAGTTACATGCAGAAGAAACCAAATGTTCCCATACAGGAGGCTAATAAATTGTCTAAACAGCACTCTACATGTACTCTATATGTGCAACTGGATGCTAAATCATGAAAATCAACAACCATTTAAACCTTAATGACGAGGCTTATCAATTTTTAAACACTAAATCTAAAACATCTCTTTATGATGATGTGTCCAGCGGCATAAATCTGTGCTGGAGTGGAGGGGGGGAAGAGGATGACATTCATTAAAAATTGCCTGGCAATGAAAATTTGTCAAGTTCCGGGAGGGGGTAGTCTTGGGCCAAGATGGCAGAACTCGCCAGCGGACTCGATTGATCATATGCCGTGAGCACTGATTTCTATTGCGCCATCTCATGACTTCATTTCACCAATCGACGGATCATTCTATCATCTTGGGAATCTCCTACAAACCGTTTAACTTTTTCTTTACTTTTCCTCCGGATTTCTGGAGGAACCAATCAGCGCCCGAGAAATTCCAGTTGAATCTGTACGTGATGAGTATGGATCAATGACCTGCATCACATGACCTATCACACTATATAATGTACATGTACAAGCACTACTACGTGACGCTCAACGTACTACTAAAGTACCAGTACTGTCACCATTGATAATGGCCGCGGTTCGATGCATTGGAACAAGGAGCGAAGACGTAAGCCTGTAAAGGACTTCCTACAACAAAACTGAAGAAATAACAAGCTGACGCTATTGATGCGAACCTGCTCCAATGCTCTCACGGTCTGTTTTGTATCCTATTTCGCATCCTAGAGTCAACTGTGATGATATTCATATTAAACTACTATTCGGCACAAAACGCAATGCCTCGGTTGTAGGAGATTCCCAAGACGGTAGAATGAGCCATCGATTGGTGAAACGAAGTCATGAGAGGGCGCAATATAAATCGGTGGGCACGGCATATGCTCTATCGAGTCCGCTATTGAGTTCTGCTGTCTTGGCCCAATACAAGGGTGGGGCTGCTGACACCAAATGACAATTGGTTGAAGTGTTCATGACACTGAGGTGCATCATAGGGTGCCATTCGATTAGATTCCACAAGTTACATGGCTTTTGACCTGGTTGCCACCATCTCACTTGTCTGACACAGCACACATGACCATTCTCAGGTCAGGGTTGTCATGCGTAAGCTGATCGAACGCAGCCCTTAACATGTATGCTGCACCTCAGAACCTTGCTGCAAAACTTGGCTTTTTAAATCCTCCTTCCTTTTTCAATATTAATGAATACATTAAATTTGTTTGGAAGTCCAAGAAATTCATCAAAATCTGTCTTGATTTTTTTTCACCTACCAAAATATGGGGGGGTGGACATATACATGTATGCTCCCATCCTTGGGATTTCCCTGGACATGTCACAGGTGACTTGGGGGAGTGTTCTGCAAATAGCACATGTGGTTCCTCATTTTTACATGCAATTTTTTTATTTTACAATAAACTGATTTTCGTCAAGTCAAAGCAGATCAGAGTGCCAAAATTAGAATGCATTAGAAAAGAAGTCCCCGCCTTTTATCACTGCAGCTGCCAGTGACAAGACCACTGGCATGGCAAGCACAACACCTCTGACAGCTCCCCTTGCTCGGGGCTCTGCAGCAGCATTCTCAACTCCAGTATTTACATTTCCAGCACCTGCCTCTGGGGATTCCCTTCCTGAGCCATTGGGAAGGGCATTGACAAGATCGGGGGATGCCTCTTCATTAAGAGTCCTCAAACCAGATGCTTCCAGGCTCCTGGTTCCAGAGGCCTGAGGACTGTCAGTGGAGACATCTTCCTTCTTGGTGCTTTGATCAGAGGATAGCTGATCAGCAGATGGGATCCCGGTGGTGCATGGTGGTTGCTCAAACAGTGGAGGAATGCATTGTGGTTGTCCACCAGCTTCTTCCCGTTTAAGGATGCCTGATGGCTGGGAATTGGCTTCTAAGTCACCTTCCTTGGGTCTGCTGGCTGGACTGGCCTGGTCATGGTCTTTCCTGTCTTCAGCTAATGGTGATGGTTCCTGATGTGCTTTTCCTCGTCTCTGCTGGTGCTTGTGAACAGGATGTACTGTCTCCATGCTGACTCGGTCAGGTGCAGTTTCCGCCTCATTTGGTTGGAGTTGGGTAGATGCTGGTGGCTGGTTGCCGAGAGAATCTTGTTGTGTCCTGATGGATGCTGCTTCTTGTGATGTGGCTTTGAAGAGTGCTTGGCCAGTGCTGGCTCTAATCAAGGCATCTTCAGAGAACGCTCCATCACCTGAAGGGATCTGGAACTGTTCGGGCAGATATGAGGATGGCCCTGTGGGCTGCTGGACAGGGGCACCTTGGGAGGATATCTGTATGGTGGCGACATCTCTACAAGATGCATGGCTTTCACCGGTTTCTCGTGTGGCTGGCTTAACAACAGATGGAGAAGCAGTGGTTGATAGACTTGGAGAGGAGGAAGATGCATCTGATGATACATCTCTGGATGAGGATGATGTTGAAGATGTGACATCATCACTAGTGACAAGAGTGGATGCGCCCACGGTGGCACCAACGGTCGAGGTAGGTGGCACATTTGTTGGAACACTCGAATCTGACATCTGGAGAGATACAGATTCATCCAGTGATTTATCTGTGCAGAGAGGACTATAGCCAGCATCCGGAGACAGTGGCCAATAGGTGCCACTGTTCCCGGGATTATTTACACTGCATGTTTCTGGGTCAGTAGAAAGCAAGACTTTCCCTTGGGTTGGGTTGGATTCATGGTGGATTCTGTTCAAATCATTCACCGGCATCTCGCTATTAGTTTCGCGGACTCGGGCGCCTGGCGCTTCACATATCTGGCCATTTGCCCATTTCCTATCAGCTGTATTATCCTGATTCTCGGGTCTGATATCTTGCTCAAATTTGTCGGCCTTGCTTTTCGTAATTTCAGTGAAGCTGTTCTGTGACTTGTGGTGTGCATTCGATTCCATTTCGGCTTCATGCATGCTCATCCCTGTCGTACCTTCACTACGACTTTCCCCTGCGTGAGATGCCACAGTACTTGGCTGTTGACCACCGAGGGGATCTTCTGGCTCAGTCACTGCTTCAGCCCCAGTGTTGCCTGACAGCCCCATAGACGTGGCGTTTGATGTTTCGGGCATTACTGAGGGCCCTGCTCGATTGTCGAGCATGGCAGGGGGCTGGTTCCGTAGCTGATGAGGAACATGAGTACTGACCTCAGTTGTACTAACAGATGCTGTAGGTTCTACCTCAACATTGTTGTCAATCTGAGGGGGATACAATTCATGACAAACTTCAGTAAAGGGGACAGAAATCTGGACAAAGAGCACTTTCTTCTGGTTCATGTGGGGACAGTTGAGATATTGAGCGCGAGCTAGGGCACATGCACCAAAAAAGTTACATATGTTACTGTCTCCCACCATCCCTGTTCCCCCCCCCCTCTCTCCCCAAACCTCACTGCAAAGTGTATCTTTTCCTCCTGACTTAAATTTTTAGCATGTTTAGGGGGCAGCTTGACATCTTTTTGGCCAAGCCCTGTATAGAGAACTCTTCCCATCCACTTTAACCACTTGCTGCTGGGGGACCCTTTTTCAGGCACATAGGTTTTATACACGTAGCCAGGGAAGCCCGAAACCGGGACAAACCAGCTGGGCCTTGTAACAAATTAAAAGACCATGCTCGGCACAAAAGACTGAGCTGCAGGGCATTACCGACAATTTTTCACTCTCAATAGTGCAGATAATCCAACCTTGATTTGAAACAGTATACCAGAGTTTGGGGAATTTAGTGCAAGCAGATTACCACCAGGGACAAAAGCACTCCACCACTGCAGCGATGAGCCACACAGCACCGCTGCACGCTAATCTCCAGGGCCCCTATTGAAAAGAGGTCAGCAGCCCATTGTGCCAGGTTCGTGAACAAAAGAAAGTTATATAACACCGCACAATCTGGGCTCTTTGTACAAGGCTGCAGGCCTGGCTGAAATACTCGGGCGTCAATAGATTTTGTCTGTCAGGCTAAAGTTGCCAACAGACAGTAATCCATGTGGGTGCAAACGTCCATTAATTGAAATGATGAATTTGTGAAGATTTTTGAAAACTGAAAATCTTGAAATTCGCCCGTATGTGTTCATTTTTCAAACCACCCGGCAGCATGTGGTTAACGCATCAACCACAGAGACATTCATCTTGTGCATGTGCACTCATCTTTCAAAATATACGCAGGAAAATAAAAGACAGTGAACTATTACCTGGTTGCCACCTCTAGCTTCAAAATGGATATGCAACAATTCTTCCAATTTCTGGCTAAGGTCCTCTCGCTGGATAGCACACAGGGTCTCCATCAGCTTGCCAAGAGTGGCATCACTCTCCTTTCCCCACTCACTGAGCAGGGCTTCAGTTGGACTTCCCGACTGCGATTCCAAGCGTCCTACGGCATCTGTGGTGAAACCTTTTTTTGCAAAAACAAATGGGGCAGACTCACTGATTGCAAGTCTGTAAAAACAATGGTGCACAAATTTAAGCTGTTAATGCCCTAAACACACTGCACTTTTATGCAGGTTTAGAAAAAGTCACAGGAGGATAAATGGAGTTGGAATACATGTTGCTTAGGTTTTCTGTATGCACACGATAGCTTCCACCAAATAAAATAAATGCATTGAAGTTAGCCTGGCACTTTTTTCACACTGACTACATGAAATGCATTATTCTCATGCATTTGTGTTGTGTACACTGGGTAAAACTAAACAGTCATTGTGTGTTTAGGCTTTTGGTTTATCGATCAGCTTTGTGGAGGTACCATTTTAGAATGCAGATGCAGATATGCCAATAGCTGTTTAAAATTTCAAGTTTTCCATAAATTTATGCACAAACGTGGATGCCCCAGAAGGCTTCACTGTGTGCTTTGAGTTGGCATGTCTGATAATTTAATACACCTCTGCAAACAATACCTAGCTGTCCTGCAAGACCTTTCCAATCACTACCGTGAGCAGGACTGGGCATATCCAAGGCCCTGACTTCATGCAGGATTCTGGCAGTCAATTGGCTGTACGGTGTCTGAAGGGTGACCCTTGAGCTTGCGCGTCTGCCTGATGGTGTAGGCATTGCTTGGCTCTTGCAAGGATTCCTTTCCAGGTGAGCAGATGCAGCTCCTGCACAAAATTAAGCAGATTATTTGTAAGGGTAAGACTGACTGTATTATTTCCAACATGTGTTTTAAAAGCCACGCTTTTAAGATGTAGGTTGCATCTTTCCAGAACTTGTTTCTGAAAGATGACAGGCCTGGGGCATTCAAAAAAGTAAACTTGATTGACAGCATTTCTCAAAAATCATTAGGAATACGTCAGTGTTGGAGAAAAAATTTCAAGGAATTGGGCCTAATCTTTACAAGCACGACAGGACTGCATAATGCAGATCACTGATAAAACTGGATTAGAGAAACATATCAGTTGCTTGAACAGTGTAACCACAAAGCTAGAACTGATCAATGGAATGAACCTTTCTGATGAAGTATTCAAATTATATGGGCTCATGCAGACTACCAACACTGGTTGGCAAATGCAGCTGTCAACACTGTCAGCAGCGTATGAGAGATGCTGTAACCATAACCTGATGCATTGAAGGCCCTTTAAAACCGTATTATAGCTTTTTTCAGGTACTTCAGCCCGCTTTTCTCAAACTAAGAGAAGTTTTCAGTGTCCTGAGGTCGTAAAGTAACAATTCCTTGTCTTCAAGTTTGGCACTCATGTCAAACTATACTAGCAGCGTGTATGTGCTCATAGTTGCGTGCGCATGGAGATTTGCATTACGTCATAGATTTAAGCAACTTTGCCTAGTGGTAGTTATGCGCATCCGCCTGCCTTATTTGCATATTTCATGGGACAGGTCCATCGTGCACATGTACAACTACTGCCCTGCAATCAAAGCACATCCAAACCAAACATCATGACCTGTCATTCTCACTAACCTGTCTGATGAGATGCATTCTTGTGGTTTTCTAGCCCATCTGCTTTGGGGTCATCCAACAGGTCGGCCAGTTCCGCCATGCCTAATTCCCGTAATGCAGGGATGAGCTGTTCAAACCAGTTGTCACATTTGACCAAGGTCATCCCCAGTTCATTGGCTGCTGCTATGTCTCCATGGTTTTTTTGTTCGCATTTAATTCTTTCCTGCAATTAAAGAGAAAGAAAAAAAAGTGAGCGCAGTCCATAGAACAGTCTATGACTCGATTGCACAGAAATGTAAAAGCACACCTACAGGAGACATGTTTTAACAACACTTGATAGAATTCCTGTCATCTGATTGGTGGATTGTCAAGAATGTTCTGCGTGTTCAAAAATATGGCACATGGTTGAATCACAAAATGAAAGCCTATTTTAATACATTGCACCCTGAAATTAGAATGATTTAATGTAACAATTTCTGGCAAAAAGTTGGTACTGTTGATTAATGATTCAAGTCTGCATCATTTCTCCCCCCCCCCAACAATAAACAATTTCCCAAAGGCTGCATGCTTGAAACTCTTCATTGACACTATTCGCTGTGCAACTCTCAAGGGAACAATGGACTTCAATGAATGTAAATGATGCATGCTTTTCTGCACTCCTTGGCAATGAGATATCTTGTCACTCAGGACAGAACTATGGGAAAAATCATGGCAGCAAACTCTGCACAGGCAGCATCAATATAGTCACAAAAAAGATGGATCAACAAACCACAGTTACCTTTCTTGGCTCTGGAAGACACTCAAGATGTGGTAGCAGCTCCGATGGGACAACTTGTTGAAACTGGACTGCATACTTTATCATTCTTTTCTTCCTGGCTTTATTCAGAGAGTTGTCCATGGTTCACTGCAAATGATCTGGATATTGCAAGCTGATTTAAAAACAAAAGGGTAACATTTAACAGTTGCTGACTGCTGCGATGTGGGAGATGACATTTGGAAAACCTGAAGGACACACAGAGCCCGAGGCAAAGCAAAGGGTGACATTCATCCCCAAGGGTGTTCAAAACGTCATAGAACCCTGGCTGATGTGTTAAACGGTGAGTGTGACATGCAGTTAAGGCACCCTGTCATGTGATCGTTCTGGGCCAATGAAAAATTAATATTCAAGACAAAAATAAGACAATGATGGAATACTGAGGAGGCTCCACACTTCAGTTGTCCTCACAAGCCTTTTCTGCTGGTCTATCAAACGTCCTCCAATCTCAAGTAAAGTCATGAAAATAACCATGAACTGTGACGGTGAACAAATGAACTACAACAATAATATGTGCGGCAATGGCATATTCCCCCTTTCATTGTTTACCAACTTACTTGTGACCAGACCTCCGAAGTGGACGGCATTTGGACTTTTGAAAAATTCTTATGATACATGAAACAGCCACAAGGGTCACCATAACGATGTCACAACATGTTCTGGTGAAATTTGTGATCCACTGGGGGACGACATCCAAACTTTACCTCAGCTGTTATGAGTTGCTGGAAGTAATGAAAACTAATTCCTGAGACCAACCCTTCCACCACAACAATAGGTTGTACAGGGTCACGTCATATGCAACCCGGCTCCAACTACCGGTGTACATGTAATCCTCCATGATACAACTCAACCACTGTCTTCAGCATAAAATACAACGAACCAGTTCTGTATTCCAATGACGCATGCACACTCTGAAGCAAGTTGTACATCGATCATTCAGAACAGACCTTCCGTTTGTTGCAACAGTCACAGACAGTCAAAAATTCCTTCCTCTCAATTAGGGGTCATTGGACTGATTTCAACTGACTGGACAACTTTGTAAAGAATGCATCTTTCCTAGGAGGGTTTTAACAGCTCACCGGAAGACGTCCCCGTGAGTGCAGCCTTTTGCCAACAGGAATGCACCGACCATATCTGACCAGGAATTCTTATGGCCCACTTTGACAGCTGCCCGACCATTTCCACAACACAGTTAAAGGCATAACCATCGCGGCCACAGTTAGGGACAGTGACCAAGTGTAACAGCATCATTTTAGGTACATATACTGTTACATATATGTAGTTAGCTGTCAAACAACTTTCAAGTTACTGAAATACTGAATAGACCCTTCCTTAAATACATTATCTGGCAAGGTTTGACATGGAAACCATAGGCTATATGATTTAACTTGCTTCTACTACAAAATACTAGGCACAATCAGTCCATCAGCACGGTGACACAACAGTATTGTGCTGTCACTCTATTATGTAAATACATCAAAACAGGCTTCCACAACTGTAAATTGAAAAGAAAAGTTGATAGACTGATGGCAGGATTATTGGCAAATCATGCTATTGGATCGACAGATTGAGCAAAGATCGAACTATTGTACTAATCAAAACTGCATCCAATAGAATATGACTGATGTCAAAGTTTTGCAATAGTTACCTTGTCAAATTATTATTTTATCCACCCTGACAACAGCAACATGGATGCTTCTTCTCAAGGTCATCAGGACAAAATTGAAACAATACTGTGACAGAATGGAAGCCGGTTTGATGATTGATCAGACCACAGAGCAAGGAACAGATCAGACCGAAACTAAACTTAAACGCCGTAATACGGACCATTCGAGTTTAATGTAATTTCTCGTTAAACCACCCTCTCCAATCAGAATAAAAATGCAAGAACTAGTACTCTGCCCTATTCATAGTATATACATCGGGCATATGTGCCAGGAAGCATCCAGATATCCAGTTCCGCATGTTCAGTTCGATAGATCATTAATATCCCCGGCCAAATAACATTGCTTGCTGGCGGGGAAAACCGCAGTGTCGCAATATTCTTCCAACAAATGATCCACAATGTACTCACTCGTAAAAGTTCTAAAACATGTAAATCCCTAGTTCACCAATGTCTCTTGTATGTCAACAGCCCTACTGGCGGTCTTGATTACGCATTGCCTGCCGCACAGCAATGAGAACGTTGTGGGCGTGAATATTGCGCAAGAACGACGATGGAGTCTACACCTCGTCCTTTTCTATATTGATATTTTTACTTGAGAAAAAAATGTTTAACCAAATTTACTTAACGGCATGGGTTTAGGGCTATTTAGGATAAATTTAAAGACAAAACAAACGTAATTCCAAATTTAAAGCTGAGTGCACATTTCTTCTGTGAAACTTGAATTCACTACAATTATTTGGTTGGTTATAAAGCCAAAACAGCCGTCGGTGAACCCGAGGCATGGGGTGACGCAATGCTATTTCTCATTCTTCGGGGAAATCCCCTGAGCTCGACATGCTTTATAAACACGTCAGCCTTACTACTGAGATTATAGTTTGTGCTACGCAGGGCGATGCAAACAGACCGAAAGTGTTGCCAACATACCTGTAAACTTCAACTTTGTAGTTCTTGAAAAAGCTTGGAGAAGAGCACAATGGCGGAGGTGGAGGTGTTTGATGGTGATCCCAGATTGCCGTTGATCACAGAAGTTTTCCGAAGTTTCCTGGAAGAAAATCTGGATGTGGATGCAAATAAACAGTTTCTTGCCGAACTGACCAGTTCAGGTGTTGAAGGAGGTAAGAATTAGCATTGTAATGCATTAACCTTTTTGGCCAGTGGGAGGTTTAAGTTAATTGAATATTACTTTGTACCACAATATCAAAATATTCATTGAAAATTTCCATAATTCATGTATATTTTTAAATTTTAGTTACAAAATTTGAAACTACCAAGGAGCTCTTGGACTTTCTGGCCAGCGAAAATAAGAAAGGCACATACAGTGCCTTTCTGCAGTCTCTGAGGAAGATGGGAGAAATGACCCGTAAGTTGCAACCCTGAAATTCATTGTTTATTAACATTCAACCGTCTCATGTGCCTTTGTGAAGACCTTTTCCCATTTTTTTGCATTTTTTTTCTCATCACGAAATTATGAGTTACAAAGGCATTATTGCCACTGTTCACAAAAATCTGAGATTCAAAAGCTCTCTTGGGAGAACCCCCCAAATTTACGTCTTTTGCGTGAAATCCAGCCACAAACATTTAAAATAACCCTTCACCATGATCAATGTGGTGAGGGGTCTTGGAATTCTGTGACATATCTAGCAGTCCGCCTCATACAGTACAATATGCCATTGTGTAACACTGAGCACGGGTGCACGTGAACCAGTGAGAAAAACCAAAGATTTGCCGATATCCTCCACAGCAAATTTCAACTACCTGGCTGATTTCATTGAGGGGGTAGACACCGCTGTGAAAGAAGCCGAGTGCAGGGACTACATCAAACATCTACTGAAGGCATTCTTTACGACGCTTTGTGCGGCAATTCAACCACAAGACATCATGGTGCACCTGGTGGAAGACCTCAGCAGCGCAGAGAGGGAGAAAGTCAACACAGCGTGCGAAACCCATAGCCGCTCATGTGGGGCGATTGCACTTATGAACATTCTGTTCACCAAAGGGATAAAGAGCATTCGCCGCCTAATAGAGGGTCTCCGTGAGAATGGCCAGGCCATCCTCGCTGATCAGATGTCTGAAATGATAAGTGGTGAAGGTAATATAATTTTGATACCTGAAGGCTGTACTTCATCCTCTATGTGAAAGCGAATGTGAACATAAATTTAGTGCGAATTCACAACTGATGAAAGCATTCAGCTCCAGGCAGGGGGAAGGGTTGGCAGAGGGGGCTGCTCCCCTTTCCACCGGCAAGCAGCTGGTTCCCATCGGTGAAAACTGTTAACATAAAAAATTATCTACAAGATTGTGATGTGCTTCCAAGCTATTCCAGAAGCTGGCAGTGGGCTGCGCATGATGACTCTTGACTATCATGAAGTGTTATTTACACTGGTCGTAATTGAGCTGAAAGGAAAGATCGTGTAGCAGCACAAGATGGAGAACTTCTCCGAGAATATGCATAAAACTTGTAATTGCCTTGGCACTATTTGAGCAAGCAATATGCCTGCACAGTGCATGTTAATGTGCAGGCACCATCCCAGGCACACACCTGGTATGTGTGTGCACACCTGCACCTGCACATTAACGTCCACTTCGCAGGTGTATCACTTGCTCCAATGGCGCCTATGGGGATAACACCTTTTTGGCAGAGTTCCCCATCTTGCGCCGCTACCCGGCACTATAAAATTTTTGGCTGAAAGTAAGGTTTTTCCTTGTACTATGTTTGTATGGGGCTTGTTCATTTATACTTGAAAAGTCCCTCTCCCCTATGTATTATTTCAGATGATGGTACCTGTGACAAAATAGCATGCAAACTTGCCAACTGCAGTGATGTCAACACAGGGACCATGACTGATCAAGCTGTCACTTATGGAGAGAGTACGCCTGGAGAAGACAATGCCAGTGGCTGTGAGTCTTTGACAAGTGCAGCAGCACAGGACACAAACTGTGCAATGAGTGCTTTATCCATACAATCAAATGATGTGAACCTCAATATGTCCCAAGATGAGAAGAACCTCACCCAGGCTAAAGAGGTTCCATCACAGGTAAACCACATCTACTTATTTATCCAGTGAAAAGAAATGATAGGCTTTGTAGGGAGAACTTTTAAAATTGATTTTTTTTTCCATTATTGAAATCTTATAGATGATTTGAGCGTGGGAGTAAATCCCTGGGGGATGGGGGATATGTCCCGGCCCCCTCGCTTTGTGAGGTGGGAAGGGGGCTATTGAATCTGACTTCCCAAGGACTAAAAATATGTAAGATTCTGCATGAACGTAATACATATTGCAGATGTTAATTTATATCATAAACGTTGCCCCCTGTATAATATCATATGGTGTCAACCCCCCTCCCCCCACTCTTCAAATTTCCATGGCTGGGCAATTATCCACCCCTCCCCACAAATCCCCATTCGCCACCCCCCCCCAATTTCCGACACAAATTTACACCACTGGATTTGAGGTTTGGCTTTTGGGTGGGCTTGGCCATCAAAAAATGTGTAAAAGGTTTTTATTATTGTTTTTCTATCTTTGGCAGCAAAAAACAAGGATTAGTTGAACTGGAATGCTTTTGAAATCAAATGAAAATCTCTGAACACTGTGGTTATTTTGTTTGCTTTTTCTAGAGCAACGTCACATCTCCAGAGGATGAAGCAGAGGAAGATGACAGTGTTGATGACATGCCCACAGTAGAGGAGGAGGCACCAGAGATTATCCCCATACAACTTCGCAATTATCAGAAAGAACTGGTCGCTGCTTCCCTGCAAGGCAAGAACTCGGTCATAGTGGCGCCGACGGGCTCAGGCAAGACCGTCGTCGCAGCCAGGCTGGCCAAGGCAGTCCTGGACAGGGAGCCTGGGGTGGGTCCACGCACTGGGAATAGCAAAGTGCCAAACCCAGTGGAAAACGGATCCAATAAAGTCATATTCATCGTCAACAAGGTAAACTTGTGAAATATGACATCTTACCATTGAGCTTACATAACGACATCAGTTACTTTTTAGGTACAACATGCAGGTTCCATTTTTTTCTAACTTTACCTAATGTTTTCATTGAACTCAAATCATAATTTCACCAGCTCTTTACATTTATGTAAGAAAAACAAGTCACTGGTCAAGTTCAGTTGAGGTAACCTACCAAATACACAGAGTAGATAACGATGAATGGTTGTGAGGCTTTCCTGCAAAGCACAGACGTATTTATATTCATAATTAGTAGCAATGGTTGACTCTCATTGGCTTGCAAGAGACGTGCAGAAAATGAAAGCCACATTTGGCATGGATTAACTGTGACTCAGACTCTGGTAATAATAATTTAAAGAGTTATTATTTGTGCTCTTCATGTGTCATCCATGAAATGGAGGCTTCAACTTTAGAGAAGGTCTTTATATCAGATAAGAACCTTTATAATTGCTTATTCAAACAATTGTATAATTAAGTGTACATTACAACATTGTACACCATGGAATCTATCTCTTTTGGACAAGGTGTGGTTCTTAAAAGAACCGATCAGTATAAACTTGATGTTTTGGCCAGTGTGCTCTGGCTGTCCTCAGGAGAGTGTGTTATAAAGGTAATCCAGAAGCAGTGGAGCATGGAAGAGGATTCACTGGTTGTGTGACTCAGCGTGTGGGGTGTTGCGTGAAGGTGTTGGATCCTGGAATTGGCGGGAAACCTTGGGTTCGGGTATAGGGGACCCTTATGGTGGGGGGGGTTAGTTGGGTGGCTTCGGATAGAGAAGACCCTAACGCCTGGGTGTGTGGCATGGGTTTCGGGTATTGGGGACCCTACTGCCCGAGAGTGGGTGTCTGCTTCAGTGCTAATAGGGGGCGTCAGATGTCACTGAGCTTGAAACCAATGTCTTGGGGTACGGTGTTGTGCCGAAAAATCTTGATGGCTTCTCGTATTCGCTTTGGGAGCCAGTTCTGGATGGGGTCAATGAGTTCTGTTTTGTGCCATTCAATGGGATGGTCCATGGAGTGTGCGTGTTTGATGATGGCCGACTTGTCGTACTCTCCTGGTCGGCCGTGCGAGCCAGGTGTTCTTGACGTCTGGTGGGGAGGTTCCTGCCGGTTTCTCTTTATACTTAGCCGCATTCACATGGAATGCGATATACGCCAGGGCAACTGCTGGGTTGGGCATGTCCTTGTGGGTGTGAAGTGCAGCCTGCAGCTTGTTGGGTGCTGAATGATGTACTTCAATGTTGGCAGACTGTAGGATGCTCCGGAGTTGGTGGGAGGTGGGGCCCAGGTACGGTAGACATGCTGTGGCGATGGGGGGTTGGGGGCTTTGGGTATAGGTGACCCTAATGCTGTGGGTGAGGGAGGGACTTGGGGTATAGGAGACCCTAATGTCCTGGGGGACGGCTTGGAAAGGTTGATACATTAATAGCCGTTCATCTTGATGTGGTGGAGTTCTTGGTGTAGTTTATTCTGGTCGCAGATCTCGTAGGCTCTCCGGACGAGGGTGCGGTTGACAGAGGTCTTGATGGCTGGGTGGTGGAAAGATCACTGGTGCAGGTACCAGTCAGTGTGGGTGGGCTTGCGCTGGACACGGTGATTGAGGATGCTGTCTGGGTTTCTGGACTGTTGAACATCTAAGAAGGAGAGGTGTCCGTCTTGGGGTGTTGCTCGTTGAGGTACTTGAGGAATTCTTGGAGGTGATCTTGACCATGGGGCCATGTGACGAATGTGTCGTCAACATGGAGCAGCCAAATGGTGGGTTTGCGGTCGGCGGTGAGGAGAGATGATGTTTCAGATTCTTTCATGAAGATGTTAGTCACTCAACCCGTGAATCCTGTTCCACTCTCCACTGCTTCCGGATTACCTTTATAACCAGTTATCCACTCCAGTCGGGCACACTCTCCTGAGGACGGCCAGAGCAAATTGGCCAAAACGTCGAGATTATACTCACCGGTTCTTTTAAGAACCACACCTCATCCAAAAGAGATTGATTCCATGGTGTACCCGCAAACCCATTTCTCATGTTTCATCCACCATGCAAAGCTTCATATCTTAATTGTACATTAATTGTATGTGTAAGGTGCCACTTGTCAAGCAACAGTGTGACGTGTTTAAGAAGTACATCGACGGCAAACGCATCATGGGTCTGAGTGGTGAGGTGGGTCACATTGGCTCATTGTTGGACCTCTTGGAAAAGAAAGATGTCCTTGTCATGACAGCCCAGATCTTGGTCAATGCTCTGCATGGAAACAAAGAGGACAACGAATGTATGGAGCTGTCCAAGATTGGCCTGCTCATCTTAGATGAGTGCCATCACTGCCAGGTAGGCAAAAATGAGGGCCAATATCAATAAAATATTCTTCCTTGCGCTCCTCAAATTTCTTCAGCTTTTGCAAATCCCTTATATGTGTCTTTTGTGTTATAGCTGATTTTCAATAGTGATCATCACACAATGTGACATCAGGATCAGCCAACTCATATATCTGTAAAAGCTCTCACCATGATCACTTGTTTGCTCATCAGCACATGTTTCATGTGATTGTCAGCTCTGTCGCCAGTTTCGGACATTACAGGGGGCCACGGTACTTGTGGGAGGGGGCCACATCACAAGATTTACAGAAAATTTTAAGGCTTATAGTTTTTGTTGATGGGGAGGCATCTGCTCTCCAGGGAAGGCCTGGTCCATCGGGGACCCTTTTGGTGATAGGCCTGGTGACAACATCTGAGATGACACAACTTCTGTAGATATAAACATGATTTTATGCAAGCCTGTATTTAGCTAGGGACTGTAGCCAGCCTTTTGTAGCATGAGGGATTGACACTCTAAAAGTGCCCACGATGTTTTTCTTTTTAACAGAAAGGCGATCCGTACAATGAAATCATGGCGGAATATTGTAGCCTGAAGTTGGCTTCTCCAGAGAAGGAGAGACCTCAGGTAAGATTTCTCTGTCATTTTCTCTTAGCCACAGTAATGTAGCGAATGGGCACACTGCATGATATCCCTGTCTTTGTTATTAAGACTGTAAATCAAAGGGTTGAGTAACGTTACATTAAATTTAGATCTACTTTGTTCTCATTCTGAGCAACAGAAATAGGTATCTAATTGTGTACTGCTTATGAAATTTAACCTAATATTTCTATATCTACTAGGGAAAATAAATAATCATTATATATATTATAATTTTTACTTCAAAACACTTTACCTGGAAGTCTGCATTGCATCCATAAACCAATCCCATCAATGTACAAAAATTAGTGGTAGTAATTTGGTTACCTTCTAGTACTTGTGGAGTGTTAATCAACTGAAATACCCTGATACTGTCTTCCCCTGCACAAAATTATTCCTGAAAGTCAATTTGTGTTGAAATACAAAATAAAAAGTCACTTTTTTACACTTTTTTAGCCTTGGTGAACTACCTCCCCAATGTAATATTCTCTCTTTTCTGCTTCATTACTTTTTGTAAGGTTCTTGGCCTGACAGCCTCGATGGGTGTAGGCAAAGCCAAGACCAGATACAAGGCCCAGACACACATCTTGACCCTGTGTGCTAATCTTGATGCCGAAAGGCTGTGCACCGTGCAGAATCTGGAAAACTTGGAGGAACTGAAGAAAAACAGGGACAAGCCGACAGAAAGTGGGTTGCTCTGTGTATGATACTTGGGTACCTTGTAGATTGGGATCTCTTTTAACATAGAGAGTATAACTAAGACTCTAGGTATACATCCAGGGGGCAGCTGGATACTTGGGTTTAGTTGCCCAAAAGCTATCAAAATTAAGTTTTTAATTCTAGAATACATTATACATGCAGTTTGTATCTTAGCAGCACGACGCACATTGGTAGGAAATGTACACTTGCGTTTGGAAGTACTTTCACAACGAAACCTGAAATGATGTTTGATTATCCCAGCAAGGTTGTAATATCCTTGATTTTGATTGGTCAATTGCAGTCATCAAACCTGTGAAAGGACGGAGGAATGATCTTTTCAGGAAAATCATTGAACCAATCATGGCGCAGATTGAAGATTGCATCTCCAAAACACCTGGTAACTATAAATCTCTTTATCTTCTGCATAATTAACTTGGAAATTATTTTTTGGTAACTCTGTTAGGTTTGGAACAAAAACCACAATAAATTAGCAACTTAACTTCATAAAAAGGATCAGGTTTTGGGTAATAATAGCTATTAAGAAATAATAGCTGAAATTTGGAGATGTCAGAGACAGTTTTTAAATGAGTGTTAAGGGATTTTTTTGGGTGCTAAAAGTTAAGCCTGTTTGTTGGATATAATTATTGAGCAAAGCAGCTTATTAAATTTAGTTATTTAGAAATGTTGCCATTTACTTGAATTTTTTTGTTTTGAAACTAAATTCCTCAAAAATTAAGCCTGTGAAATACAAAATAAAATCAATTTACAGATCTGGTAGTGTGTCTAAAGCTCTCTGCTTCCAATCAACTTTGTGATCTCAATCGAGACCTGGTCATTCTGGTACTTTTGTATTTTCTTGTGGTCCAAAAAGAATCAATTGTTGCAAGTATCACACTAAAGGCGATAGCCTTCCTAATCCCATGGCTTTTTGACCGACTACAAGGAAGCTGTAAAGCGTGAGTAAAAGCCCCCAAATGAGTTGAGTTTATCCTGAATTTGTGCCAGGTGGGGAGATCATCCGCAAGGAAAGCCACGATTTGAAATGTCCGCCCAGCCGTGGCACTCAGGTCTATGAGCAGTGGCTGGTCCGAATGCAAGAGTACGTTGCCAGGGAAGTTGAGGACAATGGTGTACGCTTGTGCCTCGTAACATGTGTTGACCACCTGAAGGTGAGCCTCAGATACAGTTGCATACTTTTCGCTTTTTGTCCAAAACAGCACACACAGTCCGTCTTCAGCTTCTGGTATGGGGGAGTGCCACAGTGCAAGGTAGGGACACACATCATAAGAACAATAGATAATTTTGATACTTACAATTTTACCAACAGGGCCAGTTGCTCACAGGGGGGGGGAGCAAACCCTCTGGGTCCCCTTTAGTGACGGGCGTGAGCACACAGAAAAATCAGCTTCAGTGTTATTGAATTGTTAACCTTAACATTTGTAGTAGTTTCACACTGTGAATTCTGATTTCAAGACTGTATAGTTAGAATATTTTTCACTTTGGCTGAAAAAAGGGAGATGGCATCATAACACAGATTTGTAAAAGTCAGACTTTTTCATCAACATGCACAAAATACAGTATGGAATCCTAAACTTTTCAAGTAATTCTTGAACATTTTTTTATTCGCCTTTCAACAGTTGCTCAATCATTTCAAAGCTGTGATATATTACAAACACATTTACTGAAACTTTTTCACCTCCAAAGAGAATACGGGCGATTCACAAAAGTGCACCTCCAAGAGTTTGCAACACGTTGGCCAATCACAGTATGCAAAAGTTGTTGACCCTTTCCAAACGCGTACTGGGTCGGCAGATTTTGCGCACTGAGATTGGCCAACACATTGCAAACTCTTGGAGGTGCACTATTGTGAAACGCCCATATTCCATTCAACGAATCTTCGAAATAAATCATGACCAAAATGGGATCCAAATTTTTCATCATTAAATGTTTGAATATCCTAGGAGTACAACAACAGCCTCTACATCAACCGTGATGCTCGCATCCAGGATGCTCTGGATCACCTGCAGAAACACCTCACGCGACATGATGAGGAGGAAGAATGTCCTATCAATTCCTTTGAGCAGCAGTTGGTGGACTTGTTCAGAGGTCAAGAAAATATTCTGTGCTTACTTTTTGTGAAATAAATTTTGAGTTTGCCTGAAGCACAGTTTCAATGCATACCTACATTTGTGCATTTGTGCTTTCTTCCACAATTAACTTGGAGGGAACTGTTATTCCATCTACATATACACATTGGGGTGGGTGAGAGTTGCCAGGATTATTTCCTGTGCTCAGAATTTTTGTAACAATTTTCTTTTAAAAAAGGGAAAATCTTGAAGTTACAATTGAGGTAGTTTTATAAAAGTTGATACAGAGCACAAGAAAGGGGTATTTTTAAGGGGTGCCTATAGGTAAACACAAATGTGGAGCCCTCAAAGCCTCTGGTGATTATTTCATGGACACTTCATATTCCTGCATTCTCACCTCATAATATACTAGCTGCTCTTGATCAAAGTATATATATGTAGCCTTCTGTTACTCAGGAGTTGTAGCCCTGTTCCGCAAGGCTCAGTGTAAATCATAAAGGATCATTCTTTGTATGGGGAATACCAACAGAAAAAGAAGAGCTCCTCCAAAGCATGAAAGACAAGGAGGCCAACAAAAACCCTCTGCTGGACTGTTTGTCCAAAACTCTGATCGAAGCTCTCTCAGGGCAGGACCAGTCACGGGGGATTCTGTTCTGCCGGACACGAGCAGCAACGGAGGCCCTCCTGGCCTGGATTGAAGAGACACCAGAGCTCAAGTTCCTCAAACCAGGCCGGCTGATTGGATGTGGTGGCACAGGTAGGAAGAGTAGCACAGAGGTTGATTGGGGATGAGTCAGGTTTATGAATGAGGGACGGACATCTCCGAAAGTAATTTTGAAAGTTGGCTACATGTTGTCCTTCATATTGAGGCTTGTAGCAAGAGGAAGTTTGACTTAATTGTTTCTGTCACTTAGTAACTTAGTGTGTCGTATGACTCTAAATGTTTGAGGATTAATCAGGTGTAATTGTACTACCTAACTACACATTGATGTTCAGAGTATTCTTTAGGGTGTTAGAGTGTATTTATAGAGAAACAGTGACTGAAATGACTAAGGATTAATACTGACCTGAAATAAAAACATTAATTAATCAAGTGATCATTGACTTAAGTCCTCCAATCCAAGTTCAGAGTTCTAGAGTCATGACAGATTCTAAGTATATTGAGGGGTCAGTCATTCCACAGGAGTCCCAGCAAAAATCAGGTTCAAGACAAACCGCCAACTATCAATGCCTTAATCAGCTCGCTACAATCTAAATGCCCCATCTAGACTGCCCATTTTGGGTGATTCCTTTAACACTCATGAAGACTAGAGTCGAGTACATTGACTACCAGATCTTAAGTTCCCCCCCCAAAAAAAAGAATCCAACCGCAGAGAGTCCAGTACAGGATAAAACCAAATGTAGACCAACACTGCAAGTGATGACTGCAGCTGATTCTTAATAACCTCTTCCCCAGGAATGACACAGAAACAGCAAACGGAACTGTTGAGCTTGTTCCGGGATGGAAACCATCAACTGATTGTGGCCACTTCTGTGGCTGAAGAGGGCTTGGATATCCAGCAGTGTAACGTGGTCATCCGCTACAACTACATCTCCAATGACATTGGCAGAGTGCAGGCCCAAGGTGAGACAATCAAGCAAGGCATCTTTTGGTATCAAATCAAAGACAAGATTGTAAAAGCCCCTTCATTGCACTTCATAAAGTGGGTAGACATACACCAAGCCACGTGTTCAATGCAAAACTAGCACGTCAGCAGGTACCTAGATCAGTCATTTCCCTATCCTCACCACATGCCAAAACTCATGCAGACATTCACAGACAATTCTGGGGGAAAAAGGGACACCAGCGTCCCTTTTATTGTTATAGCATTGCTAACTTGAGATTTGCTGTTGGATGCTTTGCTCATCATATATGCAAGGAGCTATGTAATCTCTGTATTTGTTTCGGATCTTTTTTTTCCTTTGGCTAACAGGTAGAAACAGAGCCAAGGGTGGGAAATTCTACCTGATAGTGTCAGAAGAGCTGAAGCTGCATGAACGGGAATTCATGAATCAAATCCGTGAGAAGATGATGCTTGAAGCAACCCAGAAACTGCAGAAGATGACTGAGGATGACTTCCTGGCACAGGTGCATATTTTTTCAGGGGAGTGAACATAATACAGTGGTATCAGGATAGCAGTCCGATTTGCAAAGTGATACTTTCTTGGTTTTCATATCTGGTAACCTATTCCAAGCAAACCTGCAGCATAATGTTGGTCGAAGATTGTCAATCCATTCTCATTTCAATCCCTACCTCTTCTGTAGATATTATTGTGCTTGTCACTCCACACAAACACAATGGTATGCCTAGACTCCAGTATGCACAGGGTCTGAGGGAGACAGGACTCATTTTTTCCAGGGCAGTTAGTGGGTTTGGCAATGTAGGCCAGCCCACAAATAGCTTATGCTTAGCAAAAAGGGCTTTAAAAATTTGACCTGATGAATATGAATTACATCACATTTCAGTGAGCATACCATGAATAGATTAGTACTAGTGGGTGGATTCGACTAGCTTCCACAAAACACTTGGGATTAACCTGGTCCAGTACGCTGGATCATCCCAAGGTCAGGGCTGCCTGTTGTAAGCTAATCAAATGAAGCCTACTCTTTTCAATTAAATTATTGATTGGAAAATAGTTTACTCAATAAGCAATTAATGTTATTGACAGATTGCCAAAATTCAGAAGGATAGTAAACTGGAGCGAAAACTGAGGAAGTTCAACTCCCGACTACTGAAGCACAACAAGACCCTGATGAAAGTGCTGCTAATCTGTCGGAGGTGTGGTGCCAAGGCATGCACTGCAGATGACATCAAGTGCATCCAGAATGCACATCATGTCGTCCTGGACGAATCCTTTGAGTCCCGCTGCAGCTTCTTAGACATACCCAACCGGAGCGTCTGCCCTGACATGGAACTGCGCAAGCAGATCATGTGTGGGAACAAGGAGAAGGCATGCACCCAGGAGTGGGGGAACCAGATGCTCTACAAAGGTTGTGTGGTCAACCTCATCTCCCCCAGGAATTTTGTCATGAAGATGCCCAAGGGCCCTTCTCGCACCTTCAAGAAGTGGAAGGACGTCCCGTTTACGATTCAGGCACTATCCATTGAGGAGCTTGACAAGATTTGCAATCAGTCTTTGGAAGATGAAGAGGACGAGGAGGAGGAACAACAGGAACAGATGGAAGAACAGAGGGTCAGTGGAGATGGGATAGAGACAGTCACCACGGTAACCTCATCCCAGCCTCGACAAGAGAGAGTACCCACAAACACTGACTAGGGTTTATTGCAGGGTGTGCTGCCCTTAAAAAAAAATTTAGTTCTAAATTTTGTACTGAACAGTTCAACATTTACAAGGAGCTCCAATTTACACTTGTGCCTGTTGAGCATTGGACACGACAACAGAAACTATTCAGTGTTTGACAACCTTTTACAAACCAATGTCGCAAAAACAGCGCCTTTAGGTGCGTGGCTTAAAAGGACAAACTTGCAATTTCAGAGTATGCATGCCTTCTACTTAAAAGTCGTGTGTCTTTATCTTTATAATCTGATTGCCATTAAATTTGATTATCATTAAATTGTTTACCATGCTTTCTAATAGCAGAGCATGACCAAACAAAGAAACTTAATTGGAATATAAAATGAAAGGTTCAAAAGTTCACAAGAAATGTTGGTTTTCATTAGAGCGTCCATGTTCCTTCTAAATTAAGTGGACACTCTAAGTGCAAAATTCTAGTTGAGAAATTATTGGCAATGTTTATAATGAATTCCACATTAGCTCTTCAGTTGTTACACTGTAACTGTTTTCAAGATTAGTTCTTTTGACTGTGTCTGACTACGTTAGCTTTGAGCTCCCGGGTAAGGACCACATTACATTAGGCCATGTCCAAAGCAGGCTTGTAGAGCTATGGATAGGTCTACTTTGTGCATGTCTCTACATATTTCCAATGGACAGAAGACCTAGACCTAGCTCTAAACAGATTCAGAAGCAGTTTGCAGTGACCTAGCACATATTACTCTAACCTGATGCATAAAAATGTCATCCATGAAGCATACCATGCTACTTTCATTTAATCACTTTGTATTTTACGTTGGGCGATAAGTCTTGAAAACTAAGCTCTTGAATTTGGAACGTAATCCCTGTTTGTATATACAGTAAATAAAGTGTTGGCCATATTAGTCTCACACGAAATTCTTTATATGAAGTACATGCATTTGCTAAGGGGTTAAAATACACAGGCCCTTATTTGAATTCACACAAAAAAATCAGGCTTTTGATATGTGACCTCGAAGCAATGAAAAATACACTGCCAGGAATCTGGTTAACACTGTATATAATCAGACCTTCAAAGGCTTTTGAAAAGTTCAAGTACCGAAGTTGCAATGACATTTTTTAAATACCTTGAGGACTCTTTATTCTATGGAGATTATGAAAACGTGAATAGGATTTGTGAGTAGAGGGTATGAAATTGGGAGGGTACAATAATAGACACTTCATTTTATGACATCAGTATGGTTGATACACTTGAATCTATTGGTTTAAAATCCTCAAAAGGTGTATTTTATTACTAATATTGTGGGCATTGAAATAGATTCGTTCCATCCAAAGTTAACACGTCTTAGCTTTACCATACAAAATTTGTATATCTGAAATCTCATGTTTCGAGAGTTAACAGCTTTTTCATGTTACGTGTGTTTCACCCAGATGCGCATTACTGTATTGACATTGGTTTATATGTCGTACAAAAATTCAAATCCTTACTCTTGCTATATTGTTTAAATGCATGTTTTGAATGTCACATATATTGTTTTAGCAGAGGGTTTCAAAAATACATGCACATGCTCTCAAGACACAGATAAAATACACCCAAATATTGTGAAATGTATGAAAATCCTTTATTGAAATTGGCCTATACACCAACAAATTTAACCATCTACAACACAAAAACTACCTTTTAAAAGTGTAAAAGGAAACAAATCTGTAGTGTAGTTAACGCATGTATTCTTATAATTTTCCTTTAAAATATTCTGTTTCATACAGCTTTCCATTTTGTTAATATAAAACAAGTTTTTCGTTATTGCCATATTTTTTTATAAATTTGAAGATTTCAAAATATACAAATAAGTCTTAGATAACATTCAAAAGCTGGACATAAAAATGAACAATTTAAGATATCTTTCCAAAGTTGATTTACACGCTGCAATATTTAATAAAAGTTTGCTCATGCTTAAGAAAAAAATGTGCAGATCAGCAAGCTGTGCTTTTGTTCTTCACCATTAAAATGTTTAAAATTTAATGGCATCCAATAAACCAATTCAAGTTGAAACCAAAAGTTTCCCAGATATATTTGGTCCAACGTTAAACTGTATGGTTCATTAAGACAATAATTAAATCTGTGGGGAAACTCTTAAAGTGGGTTGCCAGGTAACAAGAGGTTTATACATACAGCAAACATAGCATTAAAAACGAAATCCAACGTAAATTTTGATAAAGTTTCCTAATTTTTTTTCTGAAAATTTGATTAACATTCCCTTCACTTAAAGCGCAGTGTTATCGTTGGTGTTATAATAAAATTAACATAAAATTGTAACATGGTTTCTATTCATGGTAGCGCCAAACTAAAAAGATTCTTTGAAAACAACAGTAATAACTGTTTCATATCTGGATATACAAGCATCCATCCCATAGTCTGCAAGGTTATATAACAATGGGGAAATTAAGGTTAAAAACATGTATGAACAAGACTTTTGCCAACGGCACTGATGAAAGATAGAATGGCTTTCCATTCAGGAAATAGCCGATCAAACCTCGCGTTGTGGAAGGGCTGTGACGAGGATCCCGAGAATGGTTGACAGGAGGACCATGAGACCCGAGGGTGCGGCATGACCGCTGCCGCCGGATCCTGACAAATACAAGCAAGATGCAATGCAGCGGTGAGGCAGGGTGATTCATGGTATGTCTGTGCACACGTGCACTCCAATAGGGGAATAATGACAAAATGCTTGGCTGTATCAATTTTGACTCCTCTCAAATTTTATTCTCAACACGAAGGGGCGCTTTCTTGGGGAGGGAACTCATTACACCCTTACAAATGTCTCTTAAGAGTTTTTATGGTTTTAATTGAAAACGTCAGAATATCGACAGCGATGAGTCTAGTCAAGTCAAGTTCCCGCTGCCCCAAGGTGCCCCCCGCCCCGCTGAAAAAAAACGGATGAACGGATATTGAACAAGGCTAACAAAAACTTGCCCCCCAAAAACCACACCACTGAAAGCTGGTGCCCCAGTAAGATGCTGGGCCCCCTTTGAGCCCCCCTCACACTTGTAAAATCCTAGCTACGCCACTGGATGAGTCATCTTATATTTGGAGTGTGTCCTCTACAAAAGGACAGGGGACAAGTTCCCCCCCCCCCATGGTGCCAATTGTTTGTTCGTTTGTTTTGTGTTTTGTCTGTTCTTTTAGTAGTTTAACTTGAAATTGGCAGCATTCTGGAAACATACTACCACCTGTGCTTGGAGAGGGTGACCAGTTATCTTTGCATAAAAAAAACTGACAGTCATTTTGGAAACAAGTATCATTTTGCCCACCCCCCTGGCCGTAAGAACTAAATACACTACTGCAGCTACTTCTCAATTGCCAGCTTCAGTTTGAGAACAAGGGGCACCAGACCTCAACATCCAACCAGCTACTCCTAGGCAACCACGTACCTTTAAACCACCAACTACTCACTGGCATATCCAGTGGGGGGCAGGGGCAAGCCCCCCCCCCGGACATGCTGACAAATTTTTCTTTCCTTTTTAAATTTTAGTTTAAGGACTTGAAAGCACCAGCTTTCATGTGGTTTTTTGGGGGCAAGTTTTTGTTAGAAACGGTACCGGCGTGCACTTTTATTTGGAAGGTTAGGATTCTTTTACTGATGACATTAAAATTAACAACTGAACCAAAGGAACAATTTTTGTCCCCCCAGGCCCAAGACCTGGATACGGCACTAAATTTTTTGACAATCATCAATCACCTGCTGAGCACAGATCAGTGGGATTATATGAACCCAGACTGCCTTCTTTGATGGCCTTTGAAAACGCAGTAACCAAATCGTCAGCATTTGGACCTGTGGAAAAACATAAAATGATCTTCGGTGAATGTCCTACGAAACTAGCCTTTGAAACAGATCAAAGAAGTATGGAAGGGCTGCGTAGCAACGTGATGCGAATATAGATAAAAAAATATATACACCGTCGGTGCTCTCACTCATCTTATTTATCTTATCTTATTGAGCTTTGAAAAGGATCAGACAGGCTAATTAACAATATCCTGACTAAAGAATACAGTGACCATTTCATAGCAACCCTGGTAAACTTGAGTGGGTGTGCTAAAATGGTTATACTGGAAGAAGACCCAGTAATTCTGCGATCCATTTCAATCTTCATATCTAATTTATATTTTATAGATCTAAGCCTAGTCAAATACTAAACTCGGTATAGTTTTATTGGAGCCTCAGAAAGATCTACATGACACATTTCTGAACACAATTAAAATTTAATGTAGAGTTTTTTTCTAAGAGGTGAAGATTGAGTAAAGAGTCAAAATTATTTCATTTAAAGCAATCACAAAGAAAAACTCTGTATATACATTGTTTTGTGCGACATGATTAGGATGTGAAGGGGTAAAAAAAGCTTCGAACCTTCAGTGAAAACAAGGAGAAAGTAAACAATGGCACTATTTTGCCAAAGCACTTCCCCCGATGATGCATATCCGTCAAAAATCGACAAGCATATGAGCAAGTTGGGGTGGATAATGAAGTTCACAGGGGAATTTATCAGTTGGCCTATTTTACAGACTGGCACCCCTTGTAACCTTCCCATACGTGTATATTTCAACACTCGGACACTACTACTCACCTATAACCCAAAAGCTCAATGAGGTACAACCAGGGAACTCTGTTGATTGGACAGGCTCCTCCGACGTCGCGACCTGCCACTGACGGCCTTCAGCAATTGCAAGGGCAACAGTCACCCGGAAATCATACCTTGAGGGTTCAAAAAGTATGGTCCTCGATAAAAATTGGGCAAATTTTCAACTTCACGTGAGACGAGCCCTTCGGCTAAAAAGGAGGTTCCAGAAATTCAATCATTACAATAGTTAATCAAAGCGCAGTTCTAATCTCCACCGTCATCAGGACAAATTTGGAAACTTTAAAACACAATAAAGACGGTATAGACATCTCTTTCTAATGTACGAATACATTTTCATTATGAAGGAATGAATCATTTGAACCACTAAAACATTACACTAAAATACTCCATTTCTTTTCTAATAATTTTATTCATTAAAAAACCTACGCGTTAAATGTCGTAGTTGATGGGAACACATGGGTAACCTTCTTTCCAGAGGATGCATCGGGTGTTATCATAGAGCAGAACCCATCTCCACCTGCTGCCGTGATCTTGAGAAGACGGCCAATCACTGTCAAAATAAGAGAATCACGTGATCGGGAAGTTGGTAACAGTGGCGTCGCCATGTTGGACTTGCGTATTATTCTGTTCCCTTGCTGTAACATCCCGTTCCCCGGGAATATTTATTTTGACCCCTCTGATTATTAAGTTAGTTCCCTCGAATTGTTTACATATTTTTCTCCTATCAGATAGTTGAGTCCGTCACAAGTCCTCTCACATGGCCAGGCATAAGTAACAGGGTGAACACTAACAAAGAATTTCTTTTGTAACAGATCATTTTTGAATAGCATGTGATGACCTGATGCTGGAATTATGATGGACTTACGGTGACTTGTCATGGACTCCACTACACCACACTGAAAGAGGACCCGTTTAACTCTCAATAAATTTTCTCTCGCTTGCTCTGTGCAGTTCGATAAGATGGACAACAAAGGAGGTGCCACTGGCAAGGATAAAGTGGACTTTTGATATGGGCGATGCTGTCCACTATTTCCAAGGAACAACAAGACTTGAGGGCACGAATTATGATTTCAAGGGAACAAAATGTACGTATTTTGTCCCGAGGAACAAAATTTATTTTTCGACAAGTATATTCCTACTTTGCAGTGGCGAGCAGAGGTTTTGAGTCGCCGGGGACAAAATCGCGATTTGTTCTGAAACCGATTGTCCAAATGTTTTGAACGCGTAACCCCCCCCAAAAAAAATAATAATAATAGTAATAATAATACAGTGGTATACAGCAGTGTTCCAAAATTCTGGCGCTTTCATTTCCTTATAAACAAATGGCCAACAAGCCTGGAGGCAACATCATCCCCGCTGCTGGATATGCTACTGTTACTTTGAGGGAAGGATTTGTTCGTAATCACGTTTTCATTGTGTGCATTTCCTCAAAGAGGATTCCCGATTGTGTCCAGAACTTAAGTAGTGGACAAAAGCTGGGGTAGATTTTAGAAGTCTCCCTGACACCGTTGCTGGGAACTAACCCGAATGTAATCCGAAGAGCGGCAGGTTGATGTCGGTAAACAGAGTTCGTTGGGTGCCGTTCACCGTGCCGTGCTTCGACGCGAGATCTCCCACAGCACATAGTCTCATGCGACTTATTGAACACTGGTCCTGTGAAATAAGGCATTATTGTTTATTTTTTTTTTTACTAAATTGGCGCAGGGCACTCAAGGTACCCTTTTTTTCCGAACAATGAACATTTAAAATATAACAAAAGTAGGAGAGAGAATATAGGCGATACAATAATGCTAAGCAATTGAGTTGAAAAAATCAATAATAATAAAAAATTAAAATATCAATATATAACAACGTAAATAGTTTCTTTTTTTCAGTGAACGCAGAGTGTTACAAAGTCAGCACAGTTTCACTTTAAACTAACTAAAACCTGAAGGTTTGAATGACAGAAAGTTAAATCCCCAATTATTTGGAATCAGAGAAAGCGCACTTTTAAAGGTACCCAAAGAAAAACACAACATTTTTGAGCATGCTTCAAACTCTTCTGTAGTCTCAAGTTTGGCATTTATTTGCACTGCCTGGTTGAACCTTTATTTCGGGAGCCAAAATGTTAACAAAACTTTGTCTATTTTTAAAAAGTTTTCAGTATGGAAACCCGGAATGGAATTTCAATAACCCAGGTGACAACCACCTCGCGTTTGACCAATGATCCCTCACCACAGCAACGGAAATCTCGTACGGGTTGTAGATGCCATCGTCGGCGCATACTCTTTGGGGAATCTCCAATCTATGCTCAACGTTTTCCTGCAAAAAGAGCAGAATGAAGGACAAATCTGATACGCTGCTTGTCTAATTTGCACAGTGCACAATGTGCCAGGGCCTACGAAAAGGTCGGGGGCCTACCAAAAACAATCAGGTCCCTCCCTTTCTCAACCTCCATTTTGGGGAAAGCTTCGAATTACTCCACTGCTTTCCAGCTACACGATATGCAAGGCTTTAGTGAAGCATACAACGCTAACCAGCTCATTGGTGAATGCACCTGCGCAGAATAGGGCCTAAGAACACCGATGCCTGCGGCCTACGTATGGGTTCAATGGAGCGACTCGGAGAAGCCAAAGAATGATTAAAATCGCTTTGTGGCTGGGCCATCAACTCGACTGAAAAGACTTGCCTCGGGAAAAGTTTGACAAAATTAATAAATATGAACATCAAGAGGGACAGCTGTCGTCAAAAGACAAGCTCCGTTCCGACAGTGCTGAAGTAAACTTTCCGTTGCTCCGACTAAAATGAAAGATTATCAGAGGCATTTACCAGATGGTAACAACCGGGCAGAGGTATAAAAACGTTGACAGCATCCTCCGATCGTACTGTAAGAAAGTCTCAAAACCCACTGTTCTTCTCACTGGTTCATTACAACGCATTTCTCTCGGAAGCAAGTTTTATTACAACTAAGCAGACTTAATTACCTTGTCATCTGTGGATTTTGGAAATAATGAGCAAGTAGTAAATCGGTCTCAGGAAGCTGGATAGGCCTGAGCAATAACAGAAAGCTCTGGTAATTCGAAACCTGGGACATCATATTGTGCATGTTCGGATGAAGGGTAGGCATCGACCACAAATCAGCCTAGCTCCGTTTTATACTTGGATTGCCTTTTTACCCATTTGCAGTGTTGTAGTCGAGTACTTTCCGAGTACCAATGTTCTCCGCAAAATACTGAACTGGCTAAGAGGGAATAAGGCCTGAGTGCACAGGCATTTGATGGTAAATGTGCAGAGGTAAGATTACAAAATAAATGTTAGACTACATACACTCCCAGTTGTGTAAAATTTAAGTTTTAAGGAGAAAAGTACTCGGCCGAGAACTTTCCGAGTTCTTTTGTTCTAAAAAGTTAATTTTAATCAAACAGTGGTGGTCTGAAGTCATTATGTTGCTTTGTAATCTTACCTTTATACATGCACCATTAAATGCCAATGTACTTCAGCTTTGTTCCCTCCAACTAGTTAAATAATTGGTAGAAAACTTGGTTCTCAAAAAGTACTCGACTACATCACTGCCCATTTGACTCTCATTTCTAACAGGCAAACTATGAACACGGGGGACGCAACTAACAGGCGTATCGAATGGACAGGAGAAATTAATGACAATTAATGATAATTCTACTTTTGAATATAAAAAGTAGTACTTTGAATTCACAGCGAGACTTTTGACCTGTGCACATGACACGGGCATTACTATTATAATGTAAATATGCGGGAGTCAAAATGCGTGCTGTGCTAATGGGCACACTACCAAAATCCTGTGGACACGTCCACTGGCCAGAGCGTGGTCATGGTGTTAAAACGGCTTACCAAATCAATTTACTCAAAATACTACGCTGGTCCCGATGACATAATGCTGTCGTCGTCATTAAGAGTGATAGGGTGAAGTTTTTTTTCATTTGATAGGACTCAAACATCGCGTTACTCACCTCTACCGCGGTTAAGTCCACTTCCAAGCTCGTGTCGCCTTGGTAACCGCACGCAAACTGAATTTGTTTCTGTGAGAAGAGTGGGAAATGTAAAAAGTCGTCAAGGACACGAACAAGGCAGTGTAAGCAAGTGCATCACGGAAAAGATGAAAGGCTAACCGCTATTAGGCATTCCGTTGAGAATAACTGGGCTACGGCTCGCACGCACGTCTACGGGAAAGCAAAAAGCCCGTATAATATTTCATATTGAAGCTATAGGCTTCTATATACGCACGCGATATTTCCATTATTTTGGTATTTTCGCAGCGCAGTCATTTTGATACAGCTCACGTGGTGCCAAATTTGAAATATCACATCAAACATGGATTTACTTTCAAACAGTGTGTCATATAAGACACCCTGTGCTCATGTTTCACTAAGTTTTTAAAAACTTCGCTCGTCTTGCCTTCAGTGTCATAGAACTTCAATTTCGTTCAATGGTAATGCGCCTAGAGTCTTATTACAGCAAGAAAAGCGAAGGGTGGTAAGCTCCTAAGCTCCTTCAAAGTATCAAGACAGTTTGGTAACTTTTAGATTAGTACCTTATAGCAGTCGTCGAGAGTCTTGGCACCAGTTATTAAGTCATTAAATAAACAAATAAAGCACTGTCTTTTATACGACATTTTTCAAAATGCAAGCCATTGCAATCAACGGAAGGTTAACCTGCTTTCAAACGAGTATGATTGTAAATAAGCTAAAGAAATACACTTACTAAAGTTACGACGCCTCCCTGGAATGTAGCATGGGCCACGAGGTGGAAATCCTCATTGGTCAGGGAGTGATAAACATTAGAACAGACCATTCGGGAGCCTTCCGAGTCGTCCCTGTGTATGACAATGGATCGGTCAGCTGCACTCCTTGGCCCCGTCAGATCCAGATTGGTATCCATGTATACATCTGAGATGCTTCCGACACCAGCGAGGGAATTAAACTTACCACTCAAATCCCCAACCTCGTACATATCGTGGGTGCCAGTTGCAGGAGATCCCACGACGCCAAATGGGTTGAAATGAGCCTGAACAGATGCAGCACTGCACGGCCCGTCGGGGTTGTTGGGATCTATCGGAAGCACGTGGATGTGCCATCCGCCGGCCCGCTGATCAAGTCCCGACAGCTCGATGCTGATCTTAGCCTGATCGAACCTGGAAGCCTGCGAGAGCGCAACTGAGCCACTAATTACTGGACCGCCTACCCACTCGCGTGTTTGTACAGAAACAGTCGGGAGACAGTAGAGATTGGCGCAAGCATATCTCGGAGCACCTCTCTCAGACGTATGGATGACTACAGATTTGCCTGAGATGGAATAGTATCCGGTTAGGGGAAGGAGGGGATCCGTAAAAAAATATTTATTGCTGCCGCTGGATACACTCGGAATGTCAATCGTTGCTAGTTTCTGCGAGAGATCACCCACTTCACAGCGGTATGGGTTAGTAAAGTTGCACTGGTCGTAGCCGTTGTCAACGTCGACGAACGGATTGAAATGTGCCGCCGCGCTGGCACATCGGTCAGTTGCGGAGACGTAGTCATTCTCGATCGGTTTGTCGTGAACGTGGAAATTATGGTTGCTCGTTGTGTCTGAGCCGTCAGCGTGTGTGACTTCTACGAAGATGGTCGTATCTGAAAAAGGATCGGCGGCGTCCTGACGAAAAACAATCTCACCCGCCACGACAGAGCTGAAATCCCCCTTGACTGTTGTGACTTCGGTCGGGTAGCCTATATTGCCATAGACCCAGCGTGCGTTTGCCTCTTCTTTGTGGATAACGATAGAACGTCCGATTACACTGTACTTTCCAAAAAGCTGCATATTCCAGTCGACGAACTGATCTGAGAAGGCGTCCATACTAGTTAATCTTCCAAATTTCCCGCTGATATCTCCTACCTCATATTGGTCGTGGGTGCCCGTTCCCGGACTGGGTGACCCTCCGGCGTCCACACCGAAGGGGTTGTAGTGCCCTCCGACGTTGTCATTGCTCGCTGGTAGGTCATCCTTGTTGATCCGTCCCTTCACTGGCTGTTCGTGGACATGGTAGCCTCCGGCCAATCCCTGGAGGTTGGCTAGATTGACCGAGATGTGAGTGGCGTCGTAAGGGGAACGCTGCCGGAACTCCAAGCTCCCATTCACCCCCGACACGCTGATTTCGGCACTTACGGTTTTGGACGGCAAAACCTGAATGGGTGAGCAGGCAATGAAGGTTCCACTGCTATCTGCGAACACCAAGTTTTTCCCCAGCACCGAATTGCCGTCCTGTCCCAAAGGTAGATTAGTGTCGATGTAATACCGCGTTCTACTCGAAGACACCGGATTCACCGTCACATCTCCGAACTTACCCGAAAGTCCTCCAATGGGACATGTGCTGTGTTCATCGGATTGACAGGAAGACGCATCGGCACCAGTCGGGTTGAAAATGGCCGGCATGGTGTTACTGCATCGCTGTTCAAGGTCCATGTTTTTATTGTACTCTTCGACAGAGTGAATTCCCCAACGGTATGAGACCGCTTCTAAAGGTCCCAACACATCATACAGATCCACTAGAATACTAGTAAGTGCAGATGGATCGTCTTGTCGTTGACGGAACGTTACTGTCCCAGCAAACGGCGACATAAATTTTGCCACCGCTGTCACCACGTCAGTGTCAAAGTCGAGGATGTTTGCGCAGATGACGGCACCAGACGAAGTGTCCTCTAAGACCAGGGATCGACCGGAAAGACTATTTGTACCCATCAGCCTCAGCTGGTCGTTACCGAACTCTGCCATCACGTTCGTCCCGCCCGTTAGCTGGCCGTGGGCAGCTGTGAGGTCGCCGCCACTTGCCAAGACGCCCCCAGTGAAAATCTCATTGCAAGGCGGTCGTTGGTCGTATAAATTAGGTCGCTCGTGGACAGTCCAGTTGTACGTGCCGGCAGGTAGAGACATGGCGAGATAGATGGTCGTGTTGGCACCTGGACCTTGCGCGAATGTCACGTTACCTGACGCCCCTGCCATACTGAAAGTCGCAATGTAGGTTCGATCTTGTGCAACGACTTCTGCCAGCATGAGACTGATTCCAACTATTTAATATAAGAGAGAGAGAGAGGGAGGGAGAGAGGAAAGTGCACTTTAATTGTATTGATGATGGCAAGCATTAACAATTGAGATATAACAATAAGAGAAGCAAAAGATTAAACATGGACCGGTAGCAAAGAAGCGGAAAAAACCTGTGGTTTAAGATGTGGTTTAACTAAACAAACACTTGCACCAGTACCCCAGTTCAGAGCACAAACCTTTTGTTGTTCTGTGTAGAGTTGTATGATCTATTTTCAAAACTTGAGAAAAAATTGGGCTAGCTGTAAAAAAAAATCAACTCTGAACTAACAGTGGTGGGGATATGGAAATCTTTAAGAATCGCCAGTCGTGAACAAAAATTTTCAAAATAGGCCGCGTGGGGCAATGAGCGTGCCATACGCTCTGTATTTTTCTCAAGGTCCTTGAAGACAAAAATGAGAGAAGCTACTGAGCTCTAGAAGTGCCATCCGACTTGTTCAGATCCTGACATCTGTTTTCTCAGGATGACGACATAATACAGGCAAGATGTCGACATTGTGAGATAATTTATCATGGGATGACGACATTGTTAAATTAAGTACATGAGATTGACCTACCATGAACTCAGATAAACGCAGGACCGTGGAAGAAACATCCGAGCCCACGTTACAGATGCTCTGGACCTCCTTAACTTACCATGTGTACAAAGGGACAATTACAAGTAGTGAAGTAGACATAACACTTGCGGGATGTCGTTACCATAGAATAATTTATCTCAGGAAGTCGACATCTTGCCTGTGTTATGTCGTCATCTCGACAAAAAAATAAGTCAGGATGTCGACAAGTCGGATGGCATTTTCAGAACTCCGTAGAAAACTGATGTGGAAATGCATTTGTAATCCTTGATCTTGTTGTGGCAGAAAGTGTCCACGCCGCTGATTTCTTTGCACCCAACTCTGAAACTGAACCTCTGGACCAAAGAGTAACTTGGAGAATCGAAATGGCCGACGGAAAGGGGTTATCAACGGACCAATCTTCGTATAATTGCAAACTCTACTGATGCTATCCGCGATGGGGGTCGATATTTTGAGGTTCCCACTCTGCCATTAGGACAATATTATGTTTGAAACATAGATCGAGGGTGGAAACAGCCAGAGGTTGTGTATGTGGCTTAGCGCTTCCGTGAGCTACGATGCGATGGAAGTTGGTGTCGTCCATGTACTACCTGATTTTTTTCTTCATGCGCGTATTGCGTATTGTACCTGTCAAGGTTTGAGAGCCAGAACGCTCTGCCACTGCGACAATGTGATCTTATAATGCTCGATCTGACCATGAGGCCGATACAGGGCCTTAATGGTAAAATAAAGTCTTCTTTTCACTGCAAGCGAACGCGAAAGCGAAACAAATTTGACATCACGAAAAATTGGAAGCGAAATTCTGCTCGAGTTGGCATGCATGTTTTCAACTTTTACGAATTCGCAATGCGATTATTTGATCTGACGTAAAAAAAAAATTGGCGTCCGTGTTCGCTTTTGCCTCAAGAATGAGCCGGCCTTTAGTTGAGTTTAGTTTAGTTTCCACTTACCAAATGGTTGGTGTCTTGTGCACTATCTTAGATCCTACTGCGACAGATACACGCTGGTTTCAGTGTATGTTAAAACTCGTGGAATTTTGGATGTAAATTCCTATCTGCCTGACATTGGGGAATATTTAATGAATTGTATTCCTTTTATAAAGTACATAGCGAAACTCTTGTTGTACTTACATGAGTTACTAATCTCCTTTTTAGAATCAGATGAGTGAACGGATTAAGGATATCCCGAATGTTCATCCACATTTGAATACTGAAACTATTTTTGGAGCATAAGTGAACAAAACCTAAAGTGCACTTCATTTAATCTTTTGGCTTTGGCATTACCGCTCTTTTTAATTCGATGTCAGAAAAAAAACCTTTCTAAAGTTCTTTCCTCTTATTATTGTGAACACAACTGATTTTTTTGTATGGTATGGTGAATAAATGTTCCCACTGGGTAGAAAGGAAAAAAGAAGGTTTTGAAATAGGATATATATCAAATGTCAATTCAGATAAAAAGAGCGTGGCATTTCTCACCGATATGCAGGAGCATCTTTTGTTTGAAACCTATGGAGTCAGGTCTTAGCTCCTTTCATTCAACTCCCTAGACTGTGACGAATGCATGGCGTGTTGCCAAAAAATTGGACGGTCGCACTGTCATCATTTCAATGGGGCATTCAACTGAGCTTAGATGCGCCAGAAGCTTGTGGCTCGATTCGATAGATCAGGCGCCAAATAAAATTATAGCCCTGAATCAAATTTGCTCTTGTCTCGACCAATGATGTTAGCGAATATCTCAGGAATGAGTTGCTCAAGCAAGTATCCACAACAAAGGGCGACACGTTCTTCTTTCTTTGCAATGCATCTAAACTGGAGTATCGTGTAATACACTAATAACCACTCCTTCAATGTTTAACTTCTGTGCAGTCCCATTCTAATTACGACAGCGTGAACCATGGCGTTGTGTTTGCCTCACATATTGATGTTAATTTCACATCTTCCGATTGAAGAAATAGAAGTCTAGTGATGCAGTGTAGGCCTGATTATTTTCGTCCACCAAGTAGTGTTTATTACTTGTAAGTAAACAACCGTAAACCTACGGGGAAATACTTTCGACTTCTCCGGAGGATTTCAGAATGACGTTTCAGAAGCTACTTGCGTCCAATCCCAAACTTCCTTATTTCCTCGAGTTGAGGCCTACGCATTTAAGACCAGGCAGTCCTGGACCATTGATGAATTTATACCTTGTAACTGCCAAGCACAATGGCGTAACTAGGATTTTACCAGTGGGGGGGGCACAAAGGGGCACCAGTATCTTATGGGGGCACCAGCTTTCAGTGGTGTGGCTTTCGGGGGCAAGTGTTTGTTAGCCTTGTTCAATATCCATTCATCCATTTTTTCAGTGGGAGGGGGCACCTAGGGGGCACCGGGAATTTGTGGGGGGCACATGCGCCCCCCCCCCACCCCCGTGGCTACACCACTGGCTAACCACACGAATCATTTTGCGTTGAAACTAGCTCCTGGCTATACGGCCTGCACCTAGCGACTGCAATTTCAGTTGCTAGGTTTACTGAGAAACGTCCAATTGATGTAGTATGACCTACTGGCAAAGCACAGCGATGGGACGTTTCGGAATAGGAAAGATACATGCATGGGCAGACAAAGCTCCAAAAGTCCAATCTACACGAATTTCAGGTTGTACCCGAAAACAATAACCGAGAAATTAAAGATATGGCGATGAACGATAAGAGGTATCAGCATATTGTGCGTCGATGCATTTGATTACCAATGGTGATTAATGTGTCTGATTAGTTGAAGGAACAGCAGGCCAAACCTATTAGTTGTAAAGCATGAAAAACACTGGCTTATTTAACTGAGTATAAAATGGCTGCTTGATCACCGGAAAGGCATTTAAATAGGTGCCCATTAGGCTAACTTGATGACCGCGAATGAACAAAAATCACGAGGTCCAAAACAGCGACTGAATACTAGCGTTCAGGGCAGCGTTAAACTCTACGATTACCCCCTACAATCACACAAATGCTTCCTCCTTCCTCCATGCTCATACTAGCACAGGCATATGTAGTCTTGTTTATCTGTAGGTGCTGGATACCTTATCAGTTTACCGATGAACTTAGAACTGGCCCTGTGCCCTTTACGCTGACCGTGTGATTACATTATGCAGATAAGAGAATTGCAAGATCCTTCTACTCATTACATGCATGCCAGGGGCCTGTGGTGTCTAACGAAGCAGACATTATACCATTACCTTTAATGTCTGCAGCGGCTATATACAGGTCTCTGATAGCTGTCAAGGGGGTAGATACGGGTGCATCACTTGAGTGGGGACAGTTGAGCACCTGCATGACATTATCCTTTTTACACATGTAAATTTTCAATTAGCTGTAGTCTGTCCCTTCTCGTATGTTCCTTTACGTGGAGTTTGTAAAATTTAGTCTGCTTTGTGATTGTAACCTTTATCGATGTGTATGTGTACAGCGCTGGACATCACACAAATACACTAGTCCCCTGTGCTATACCTTGGCCTTTCGATGATGACATCAGGTAGGGCGGGGTGACGTTTTGATGTCCTCCAACTTCAAGGCTCGGTCAAAGGGCAAGTCGTTAGCATAGGGTTAGTTGAGTCTGCCACAGTACTTATACAACCCCTTTGTCCTCGGCGTAATGTGAACACGCGCGTGGGAAATTTGGGAATTTTGGACTACAAATATTTGCTCAGAATCTGAATGATTCATTGTTCCCTGCACGAAGGGGGCCTGAACTATCGACTGGATCATCTTGGTTGTGGTGCAGGAATTATTGTGCATGACGGTTGCATAAATGTCAAACTACAGACTCTTCAGACAAAGGCTGCCCAGTTAATTTTTTTTCAAAATATGCTTTTCGTCAAACAAAGACAGTTCTATTTTTAAGGCCTAGGTCACATTCAGTTTGCCGTAACTCCGGTCTGCATGCAAAGACGCTCCTTGTTACAAATGAAAAGTTTGAGCTCAATCAAACGTAGAGTTCTGTTGATGGAGTCATTTGAAGTGCGTTTAAGGCTGCATGCCGTACCAGCCCGCGTAAACTGAGCACCGCGGTGGAAAAAGAGTATACATTTTCGGCTGACCCATCTTAGAAAAATGCCCGCTGCGCAAGAACAGATTATAGGCCTATCTGTTTTTTGGCAAAATGGGTGTAAAAATGACCGCAAAGAGTTACTCTAAAAACCCCAGGGACTCAACTCTAAAAAAAAAAGCACTGTGGAGATATCGGGAAAGATGTTAGGAACGGATTCCTCCCCAACTCTTTTCTGGTTAAAGACCGTGCAATCAGTGTGTACGTCATGCGGGAAATTAGAAAAAACATACTATACACAAAAAGTCATGTACCAGACCTTTACAACTTGAACTCCAGAGTCTAACAATTACAGGAAAGGGGTTTCAGAAGACAGGCAACATTCAACCCGAATCAATAACGTGGCAGGGGGGACCTGACTCAGTGTCTGTTCAGACTTTTCTGGTCTTGGAACCACATTGAACCAGTCAGCGACTGTCAACAATCAATGCAACGGATAGGCTGATGACGTGTCTGAGGGAAAATAATGCATTGCCGACTTTATACAAACACAGTTTTCCCGTCAAAATCAGTAAGGTGTGGAACAAATGCACGACGCAGGCTTGCCCGTTTCCTGCTTGTATTGTGGCGGTGTCCCGATTCTTCAATAGTGAAAAAGATCGGACGACAAGTAGCTTCGGGCCCAACATTCCATCACCCGTTTCGCTAATACCAAGAGCGAACGAAAGAACACTTAATATGCCAGGCTCGGCATAACATACCTATTTATATCCTATGAAATACATGTTTACCCCAAACGTTTCACGATTGCGTGTTTTTTTTCGGTTATTTTCACCCACTCATAGAAACCAGAGAACCTCCCCACATTACATTCAACCATACTGTGTTACAAAATCGCATAGGCCCTGCCGCATTTGGGACATAAAACTGAAAAAGAAATAAAACAAAATAAAATAAATCATGGATTGTAAAACTATCTAGGGTGCCGTACTTGATCCAATGTCCAAAAAACACCAACCAGCAGGCAAGGTTCAGGTTCAACCTCAGAAGTTATGCCAACCCTGCAAGTTACACAACAGATATCACAGGAATCACATTGGTGATGATTTAGTTTCTTCTGCAACGCGCCCCCGGGGGGGGGGGGGGGCAATAGAGTATCAAGGTGGCAACTTCACGCGCGCCATTATATGTGTAAAATGCAATAACGCGAGAACCAGCGTGTGAATCAGCGCGCGTGCGTACTCCATTCGTTTGCACTACTGGTTGAAAATGACGTCACACTTTGGTAGTCCACAACGCAATTCAAGTCTCCAAGAGCACATTTCGTAATTTCGAGATTACCGCTATTAATTCTAAAATAATGTTGAGTATGCAAGTATCGACAGATCCGTGGAGACGCCATAACCGCGGGACCATCACACTTGTGCACGGGTATCAACTTGAGCGCGTGCGAGCATTTTGGCAATTCAGAACACCCTATTGGTCTGAGAGAAGTGCAACGCGCGCGTGTCACGTGCGTACGCATAGGATAGTCTATCAGTAATAGCCTCTACATCTGGTCGCTGGATTAACCTATACATCACACATAACGACCTTTGTTACCAAATGGCACTCTAAGCGTGCGTTCAAGCGAGCTACTCGTGTTAAAAACGACTAGGCCTATACTCCTGAGCGTTCGAGCGGCTGGAGTACGACCCGCGGGTCAGTGAGAGTATACTCTCGATAGAGGGGGAGTATACTCCTGCACCCAAGTGTAATGCGCACGCATCCTACTCGTGTTAACAGGAGTAACTGCGCAAACGCGCCCCAAGGAATCGCCAATTTTCCTGCGTCATGTCTAGCAACTGACATTTCTTTCCCTTCCATTTCCTGGATTATTTCGCAAAGTTTACAGAGGCCTATGCAGGTCATGATATGCTACACCAGAACCCTTCCACCCTCTACACACACCGTCCTCAAAATGTTTTGATGTTATCCGACTGGAAAGACAAAATAAAACGAAGAATGCAAATCTATAAAACCTCGGCTGATAAAACCTTTTATCATGCGAGTAAGAAAATATTTGTCCATCAGTACACAGAGGTTGTGTTCAAAGTCATGAGCCTGATCTCACGTGAGCGTTCAATACTCACAGGTGGTTGGCAATTGTTACCATTGATTCCCGTGACTGTTCTTAAGAGGACATCCCGCTTGTGTTATTTTCACTTTTTTAGGCGCCTTTCATATGTACCTTTTTTGGGCTGCGTTGCGTGAACGACGCATTCATGCGTTTTCACTTTCACAGACACAAAAATTGACTCAATTAACATAGCGCACGTATATGTTGCGTTCTACCGGCAACGGATACGCAATGCTTGGCAAGTGTTGACACACCTATGGAAAGACGCCTTTATCGGTTTTGTCTGATGAGAATGCGTGCTGAGCAAAATTTGAAATATTTATTAATCGAATGCAGCGTGTGGGTGTTGATATAGGGAAAACAAAAGCATTCGTTAAACAATGGACAATTCTCAAAACAACACAAAATTAAACCTCCTAAAAATCGACACACATATCTTTCTTTTCCCAAACCAGCCGCTTTAATGGTCAATTAGGTCATCGAAGATGGGGAGTAACTGACCACAACAATGTTGACTGACTTCGATATGTTGTGCTGTTGGTAGTCTTTTTCCCGTACTTTTAATGCTACCACAAGTGTGTCTAGTAACCCGGATGGTCACAAACGTGCAGTATTGAATTGAGTTTTTAAAAAAATTTTCCTATCTATGATTCGATCGAGGGTAATACTAGGCGGCCATCGAATCGATCTGGCACTCACACGTCTTTGTTGTTTATGCCATATGTTTGTGATATGGTCTCGCAACTGTATGTACATGGTGGACCCTCCAAGCAAGGAGGCGAAATCACAGCACCGCACGGCGTTGACAGGTGCCGGGGTCGTCAGGCCTGGCGTGAGCAATGCACATCAAAAGAAGGCAGGCACAAAGTATAACCGAACATTCACAAATATATATATTTTCAAACCTTATCTTTATGGGTGACCTTAAATACTGTCAATTTATGTCTGTACAGCTCAAAACAGGCCTGCTTGATGGGGTCCAAACTGAACCGCAAGCTCAATGTTTCCTATTAAACTCTCGAGCTACACTTTGCGTACGGGCATAACTCGTACACATTCATATCGAATGTACGTTCTTGAAAGATTTACTGTCACGAAAGAGCCTGAACAAAACTCTGTATGTAAATATAGACTTACTGAAAAGTTATATAACTTTATGGCCAACTCAATTGAAATTGACGGATTTTATAACAATGTTCACACGGGTCCAAAGTCTTGGACGAACCAGGAAGTACACTGGTCTGCACTCCGCTGCATACATTTAGTTCTAGTCTAAGGTGAGAGGATTAAGAAAAGAAAAGTCTTGTTGGAATATTCATATTTCATTTGCGATTTTACAATCTGCTTAATGGACTCATCATAGACTCACCAAATCACAAAGGATACAGGTTGACGGATCCATGGCAATGCATTCCAGTCTATGGCTTCGATTGGATTTGGACATTTTTTCGATAACTTTTGATAGACTATAACTCTGTAAGAATAAGTTTATTAAAACCGCTAAAATGCACGAGTGTCCGACTCTATCCTGGTGTCATTGCCTTTTTAGGAAATGTTAATTCACTCCAACTTTATAGCACAAAACACTTCACGCAGTTAACCATTTTAGAGTTTTACATCTTTCTACTATTACCTTTAAAGATGAAACTATACCAGGTTGTTTAGTCTCAACAGAAATAACGCTAAATACTTACACACGATGTACGTCTTGGCCAAACGATCCATTGTGGTCGGATTACAAAATGTGTTACTCGATCCAGGGGGGAAGTCACCTTATCGCTCACAACATGCACAAGCGCGGTCCCTCAAAACTGAATTGCAGCTCGAGTGCCCTTTGGAATGTGTACGCAGCGAGGCTCATGCGAAACTATTCTCAACCTCGTGGCGTTAATGCGTCCAACCAATAATAACTTCCGTGTTGGTTTCCACAGCACCAGACCCCCACGTCAGAGCATGGTTAGAACATTGCATGAGCCAGGGGAGCACTCATGTGAATCATACCAATACGCTAGGTGACTCGTCATTTCCTTAAAAGTCTGCAACAATCAGAGAAGCAGTACCTGACGTGAATCCCACACAGTGGCGCGCTAGCTGTGACCATACCAGTCGACTACATTGTCTCTTTGCCACGCCCCCAATGTATTAGACTGGATTCAAGTCTGACAACCGTGGAAGGGTTTCGGAGTGCTGTGTGTTTCACCTCCTTGCGCCCTCAATGGAAGGTCAGGGGTGCAATCTAAAATGCCCGAGAGAACCACTGAGCACTGAGGCACCAGGTAAAAATCCAACCAGCCTAATTTTGTCCAGCTGACAGATCCTAAGTTTGTGTTCTTTATACACGACAAAACCGATAGATGTGAATACAATGCATAATCCAGAGGATCAGCAAACACCTGCATGCCACAAGCAAATTAGTCTCGAAGCGTTGTTTCCTCAGCTTCTCTCCGTGTGCAGTTAGCAACAACTCAATTGACGCATGCACCGCCGCAACCAGTTTTCCACGCACGGTTTACCCTTCTGTAGCGAAGGAGTTCACGTAAAAGGGCTATTATTTGTTATGAATACAACGGCCAGGGTTGAAAATGCAGTCCACTCTCGTGTTGAAAGCACGGATGAATCACAAAGTGGTTGATAGATGGCGACTATGCGTAGGGTTTATAGACGACTCTCATTTTTCCAGCAACACGTATAGGCAGCCAAAGTTTGTCAAAAATCTCACCCCGTGGTTGTTTTTTCATTTTACCATTTATTTAAAGAGGGTCGAGTTTCCATTTAGCATTTAATAGAACGTATGTTATTATCAAGTATTCTGATAGCTGCTTGAGTTTTCTACACTATGTGAATTATTCTTTTACTTTTGTGCTGACGGCCAGCCATGGTTTTTGCAGCCCTTCGTCATATGCAGCAAGGTATGAGACGGAGAGAAACCCCCCCTGCTTTGTGTTGGTCATTGTCTCGCAGGAATCTGGGGAATTCCTGTTGTTGGGGGGGCACCCCTCGGTCTCATTTCTTGCTGGGTATACCCTTCGTGGGAAAACACGATTGTGACTTGAAAAGAGTACAGCCTATTTCATTAGTAGTCTTCGTGTCATTTTTGGCCGTACAATCAGGCAATCAAATTATCAACAATGAAATTTATTAAAAGTTGGAAAAGCATGATATGCCACGCCCCAATACACAAAATCATTCAAAAACAGTTATTTAAAATCATTCTAAAACAAAGTGGCAACACCAAGAAACCTGCAAAGCACCAGCATGAGAACGATCCAGAAACCAAACAATGACTGGAAGTAGCCATTTTATTACGGATATATACATACTTACTTCAAAAAAACATGTACATGTACACCTCTTTGCCTAAGAAGTATTTACTATGAAAAACGGCTTAACTTGTGACAAAATTCTTGTTTGTCTGTCTTGATTAATCTCTGTGGATTTTCCTTGAATTAACAGATTTGTTGTCCACAAATAAAATGGACGGTCGCAAATGTATGGAACCCTGGGACTGCCATTCAATTTGTTGAGATCCTGACATTTTATCCGGGATGACGACAATCAAGCAAGATGTTACAGGCAGGGATGTGGTCATCTTACTTTCAAAATGTCATCCTACAATAAATTACCTGCGGATGTCAAATATACATTCCCATTGCATGTATGTCGTCCTCCTGTAATTAATAAGCTCAGAATGTCGTCATCCCATGATAAATCAACTCAAGGTCAAGATGTCATCGTTGTTGACCTGTGATGGTCAAGATCTCAGCAAGCACGTAAACAAGCTCCGTAAACATGTACCATCCACTATGACAATCTTGAATCGGTATGAACGACGCTGGGCTGCAAGCAGAACGCACTTACGCCGGTAACGTTTGCGGTGGCACATTATCACAAAATTCATGCACATATTTATCACTGAAAACATACACTAGGGCTGAGTTCGGGCGGCTTGTTCCCGTATGTTCACGAACAGCTCGATTTGTTGTTCGTGGGTTGGCCGCTCGAACGCCGGGAACAAACAAGCGGTTATCGCTGGTAGTTAGTGACAGCAACATGGCGGCGTCCATGTGGGCTACGTTTCTCGAGAGTTAATGTTTGGATGGGCTGAATTCTTTTCTGTATAAACAGGGACATTCATTTCTGTGTTACAGAAAATAATTAATGGTAATTTTGCAAAACTTCCCATTGGCTATGGCTTTGGAAGCCATCTCTTTACTTTTTGCAGCTGTTCAAAAATCCAAATCTCACGAGATTTTCCGTGTGTTCCTGTAAAACCCTGACGGGGAGGTGGTATGTGATCCTGTTCCGAGAACAGTGTTCTTGAGTCGTGTTCCCGCCGTTTGAGCGCGAGAACAAAAAACCCGTGTCAAGAACAGGCCGCCCGAACTCGACCTAGGATGATACCCGTGAAAGGTCGTTAATGAAATTCGTTTTTTACCCATCTCCAGGTGACTTTTCCTAAATATTACTTGAAGAAGACAAAGGTGAAATTCCAACACGAGTGTTTCATGGGGAGGTTTTAGTTCAGAATTATTCTTCCAAAAAGTATTGAACGTGATAGGACGGCCGAATATAAACTCCCCATTGAAGGACCGCGCGAGGGTTCCGGAAGCTCGCTGCGTGACTTTTCACTTTCAGGCTCTACACCGGCGATTGACAATAGCACGCCTCCAAGCGTTTGCAACAAGTTGACCAATCACCATGCGCGAAATCTGTCGACCCAATGCGTGTTTCGAAAGGGTCAACAGATTTCGAGCACGGTGGTTGGCCAACGCGTTGCATACTCTTGGAGGCGCTCTATTGTGAAACGCCCGTATTCAGTGGAAAGACTTTCTTCAAGTCTATTCTTTCAACAGTTCAATTTCATTGCTGAAATTTGGAGTAGCCTTACCAGAGCCATGGGACCTTTGCCATAATCAGCAGAACAATGTACCCAAAAGAAATGTAGCAAAAAACAAGTATGGGCCCCGAGCTGGACAAAGAGAGGGCGCAATTTTCCGAGCAACGCAGATTCTTTCGGTAGCAACTGGTAACTGCGATGATCGCTGGTTCACGAACGACCACGGAACGCAAGCATTACATTTGCATCGCTACCAACAAATTGAACACTCCCGACCAGAATGGCTCTTTTCAACCGATGACGGGGGTGCTTCTGCTCCGGGCGGATTGGTTGAAGTTGTCTGTTTGACAAACTGAATGCCACATTCAACAGTCTTTGAGTACAGTTTTGGAAGTCATTTTGGCAGCGTTGGAAGAAAAACCATTAAAATAGTATGCGTATACATAAAGAAATGTTCAAGCACAATGTGCACAATAACCTTATGTTTTACTTGAAACAAAATGTTAAGGTTTAAAAACGGTGTAACCTTCTATATTATCCCACTCAATAACCTCCAATAGAAATGCACAATAATTTTCTCGGTCAAATGTGGACAGCAGACCACCTTAAATAAGCACCTGCACCGATGATGGAAATTACTTCTGGATGATAACCCCAAGATTGATTCCAGTGGAAAGTCTTCACAGCCAAGGCTACTGAAGCAGAAAAAGGATAAAGCAGTTGGCAAGTAGCACGAAGAACATGGGCAATGCAGCGGGCATCGTTTGAATACCACCTCCACTGATATCTGACAGAATAGGAAAAGAATACAGACAATTTTATAAAGCAAGTCCCTGAAGGAAATTTAACTCCATACAAATGCCCTTCGTATTACAATGTACTTCAGCTCATAGGCATAAGAGGACAGACTATCCCCTGTACATTCTTTGTGCATCCTTGTACAATGTAGTTGTGTGAAGATGTCGAAAAGCCCTTTGAAAAAACCGACAGCTCGACACTAACGAGGCGAATAGAAGGGTGAATAAAAGATCTGCCTTTTGCTCAAGTGATACTGGACCCACTGTAACTGAGCCTGGTTAGAATCAAGTTCAAACACGAACTAAGGCTTGACACTGCCTTTTGAATGTAGTCTGGTACAGTCAAGCAAGGACTGTATTGGATTTCAATCGAAACCTCAGTAGTTAGACTCTAGCCTATGTACGCTGAAGCTATTCAAACTGTACTGGTTTTATACCCATGTGGACCGACTACGAGGTCAATGGTGTATTCTGTGCACCCTGGGGACTCTTAGTGACCGGAAGAGGGTCCTATTAATGGACCCTCTTCCGGTCACAGGCAATGTAACCATGCAGCTAATCAGTGATTCAACAAGCAATTCAGTAATAAAAGCAATGCTTGTAGTTCCCCTAGATTCAGTTTTTGAGTTACTTTTATTGTTCTCGTCATGTGAGGGCGCTGTAGTCAACATTTTCGAGTTCAGTGCCGGACCAGGCACTGGTCTCTAAAATTCATTCTCGCGCGATGTCTAGGCGTGCGAATAATTCAAGTACAAATCTACAACACACCTCTTGCTGGTTCTTTGCCTTCGTTGGCTGAAATACGGTCACGTGTGATTCACTCATTCATACAAATAGACCTTCAAAAGGTGTGTTATAACTGAAACTTCACTCTTCTTTTCAGACTAGCTCACTGCTGTAGAGTGCCACGAAAATGCACAAATTTATGGCAGAACAGATAAGCCAAGTGTGTTACCTCTGCATTGCGAGGTGGGCGAATATTCACCCAGACCGTCGGCTTGGACCTTCTGCTTGAACTCTCTGTCCATGTCATCTAGGCCAGCACCTACAGAGAAAAGTTAGAAAAAAATAAATATTTGGCTTCAGCACCTTTTCCGAAAGGCGGGTTGCTAAATGTCTTGTTTCTGTTTTTTCTTATCTATTCCCACACAAAGTCTCCTTGAAATACTCAAATCCAGCCATCCAACGCCACAAGGGCACACAAGTTGCTCTCTCGCCCTGGTATTCGCTATATATCCTCCAATTTTAAATGTAACGATAAGATGCATAAAAGTCTCAGGCCTTTCCAGGAATGTGAGCCAGTGTTTGGCCCAGGTTACGGATGAGGTCACCATCATTCATCTGTCATCCAACTCACCAATGAAGTAAAACTTCAACGTTGCGCATCCCGTCACTTGATTAACTTCTGGCTCTTGCGTTGTCACTATCTGCCACATCTCGGCACCAGTCATATAATCGTGTAAGGCCTGCCGGAATTTATATCTGAGATCGCGGGACAAGTGATTTGATAAAAATTCGGTTGCCCTGGTAAATGGTTAAATATTATTGGGCAAGTCCTCGATTTCGCACTCGTTGTGTCCAATACGTGTCCAATCAGCGCTTTACCCTCCAAGATATTCGTGCATTTCAGTATTTTTTTAAATTTTGCTCGTAGCATTCTTCTCTTTGCCAGTCTCTTTGCCAGTCGTTGATGGGGCATTTGACAAAGATCACACTATCGACTCGTCCAAGTCGTCAGATTGAAATGTCAAAAGACGTATCAGATGATACTTTGATCGTTGTACAGACGAATACAATTATTTATCTACAAAGACTGACTACGGTACTCACGGATCAAATGATGTGGACCTTGGATACGATAAGTATTCGACTCTCCCGGTGCTGGCATCTGGCTCTAAAGTACCGCAGGTAAACTGGCCAGTGTTTGTCGATATCAGATGAAGGGAAAGTCCTAGGACTGAAATGTTACAACACACGTTTTAAAAGGGTTTTAAAATACAGCACAAGTTTTTATATCATTATGAACAAGTTTGTGACAACTTTGTCCGGGAAAGGAAATCTAAACTTTGCTCCCCTGGATCATCACAGACTTTGATAAGTCTCTGAATAGCAAGCTTACTTAAGTCAACTCCACATTGAGTGATTTTTTATGTGTTGACAGATTTATGCTACCTGAGTCTTGACCGCTGAGCGGTAGGTTGACGTCGGTGTAGACGGTGCGTTTGACGATGCTGCTGACGTTTCCGTGCTTGCCGGTCATATCACCCACAGCACATCGGAGCTGAGTTTTCGCATCGCACTGGCTCCCATAATCCTTTTGTATATGTCAGAAAAAAACAGAAGAGAGCGTATGATAAAGATGATCTTTGCTCTTGTGCAGATGATTCACTTTTAGAAATTTCAAGGATAACACGTTGGCTATTTGTCATAGCACAAGGCGTAATCACATCTTAAAGTATGACTTTAAATGACACCCATCTCTTCTTTTTCGGAAATAAAGAACGGCAGGTGTTTAACACTACTCACTGGATGAGTCTTAAATTGGCCTGTCCTTGATTGCGTATAGATTTCCTGATGATTTTAACTCACCCTGTTTACGGACACTTTGTGAGGATTGAAAATTGACGACGAGCCCGTACACGCATCATCCTCCGGTTCGACAGGACGAAAGTTCCAATAAAATGTGTCCATCTGTCAGAAAAAGTATTTTGTTAAAAGAGTCACCTTTCAAGAAAATTTGGACAAACTCATAATCAGTGTATCTCATGTATATCATCTGTTGGGATGAGACATTTTGATATTTTTTACACATATATGTTGAGTAATCAGTGAACATTGAACGTTACAGCGAACAGTATTACGTAGCATCGAAAACTAGCGGGAAGAAGTCATGGCAGCTAATTCGTCGAGCGTTATTCACCCATCTGATCTTCGTAATTCGGGTTCAAATAAGCCAATACGCACACACCAATGTGATTAGTCCATTAATTAAGCAATGTTCCAAGGGCCTTCTCTCTCATTTCAAGAGTGTTTCATTTTCGTCGAGTACGATGATGTACCGGACCGGAAGCTATAAATGTCTTTTACTAACCTCGGCAACATTCGAAAGCACGCCAAATTCCACAGTGGTGTCTCCCAAGGCGCCCGTGTGATATCGTGTCTGACTCTGCGTTAGAAAAAGGAAGGAAACATCTTCGACATTAATCTGGTTCGCTTTCCTGTTTACGTTACCAGTTCGCCCCTGAGACCTAATTTCCTTTTCATAACTGACTTGCCTGATTTACTTTCGGTTAATGGCCGTTTAACTCACCAGTATTGCATATCCAGTATAATCGGTTGCGGTTACGACAGCCTTGGCCGTCACGATGAAGTCATCTGGATGTGTTTTACGGTGCAAAGTAGCGCACACCCATCGGGATCCGTCAGCGCTCTTGTGAACCACCAGGGACCGCCCGATAATGCTGCGAGGACCTTCCAAGGCTAGGTTGGTATCGTGGTAGACGTGATCCGCCGAGTCCACATACCCATAGAAACTTCCGAATTTACCACTCAGGTCGCCCATTTCATACATGTCCTGTGTACCGTACGGGGGCGATCCGACAACACCAAAAGGGTTGAAGTGTCCCAGGACAGACACGGGGCTGCACGGGGCCGAGTCCATGTCCTTGTCAATCGGGAGGACATGGACGTGCCAACCGCCAGCCACATTGCTCAGACCTTTGACGTCCACGTGAATCTGCACGGGGTCGAAGATGGACTCTTGTTGGAATGTGATGTGACCGGAGACGGGGCCGTCGGACCACAGGTCGGCGGTGGTTACCGTTGGGGGCACCTCGAGGAGATCGGCACAGGATATCCTTGGGCTGCCTCCATCGGAGGCGTGGATGACGATGGAGCGACCGCTGACGGAGTTGACCCCGCTTAGGGGTAAAGAGGTCTCCGTGAAGAAGAATTTGCCCATGCCAAGATTCATGTGGTTTGTGATGGTGAGCTGGCCGTGCTTCTTGGAGAGGTCGCCAAGCTCGCATCGCTGCGGGAATGCTGGCGAACACTGGCCATAACTTGGACCGAGGTCCGCATCAAACGGATTAAAGTGGCCAGCACAACTACTGCAGCGCCGGTCTTTGGAGATGTAATCATTAGCAACGGCTTTTGTATGGATGTGCCAGTTATGGCCCGTAGTGGTGTCGGTTCCGTCCGCATAAGCCATCTCTACATAGATGGAAGTGTCGGCGTAAGGATCGTTGATGTCCTGACTCATCACGATTTTGCCGACAGAGGGCGCCTTAAAAACAGCCTTCACCGTCTTCTTCTTCGTCGGATAGGGGATAGCAGCATAAACCCAACGATCACCCTCCTTCTTGTGAATCACCAAAGATCGGCCGATGATGCTATGCCGTCCGAACAACGGTAGGTTCCAATCAAGGAAGGTGGCATTGAAATTATCATATCCCGTCAGCAGGCCAAACTTCCCGCTTAAGTCGCCCACCTCGTACTGGTCATTTGTGCCGGTGCCGGGTGGTGGAGCAGCCCCGATGCCGTACGGATTGAAGTGGCCGGCTACATTTTGGGGACCGGCTGGCTGATCACTGGCGTAAGTGCGAGGCACCGGAGGAAGAACGTGAACATGAAAACCACCAGCCAGTCCTCGCAGGTTCTCAAGATGCACTTTGATCTCAGTGACGTCATAAGGTGAGCTCTGACGGAACCGAACCATACCCGACACGTTGTTGACGCTGATTATGGCTTCCGACGATTTCGGTTTCATTTCCAAGATCGGAGAACACGCCACTGGATCACCCGAGGCGTCGCTGAACACCAATGATTTGCTGACGACTGAGTTTTCACCCGATAGCGGTAAATTGGTGTCGATAAAATAATGCGTCACAGCCGAGGGAACAGGAGTTACGGTTACGTTATTAAATTTACCAGACAGATATCCAATGGGACAGTTGAGAGGATCCTCCGGTCGACAGGTTATTACATCAACTCCCGTCGGGTTGTATGTGTTGGAACTTGTCTCCTTGCACCGAGTTTCCAAGTCTACGTCTTGGTTGTAGCCGCTGTTACTGCTAACTCTCCACGCGTATGTCATTTGTTCAATTGGGTCAGTGACGTCATATAGATCAACCAATATGGTGGTATCTGCCTCCGGGTTGCCGCTCTCCTGGCGTAGGGTCACCGTGCCGGCAAACGGCGCGTCAAATCGGGCCACTGCCGTGACGAGTGCCCGAGCGTTGGCGATCTGAGCACAGTACGCTGCTTGGGACAATGCTTCCTGCAAGACTAGGGTCCGGCCCGTGATGCTTTGTGGTCCAGTCAGGCTGACAAGTGCGCTGGAGTAGCTGGCGTTCCAGCTCCCACTCTCCGTCACCGTGGTGGTGGCGTTGAGCGCCCCGGTCAGATCGCCCGCGTGTGTGTAGACTGGGCCGACGAGTTCCTCGCTGCAGGCCGGCTCTTGGCCGTACACCATCGGCTTCTCGTGGATAGCCCAGGTGTAGTTCCCTAGCTCAAGCCCTATCAACGCAACGTTGATCATGACCATTGCTTGACCAGAAGCAGCCTCAGCCTCAAAGAAAGTGACTTTGCCAGAGACACCACGCATGCTGAATGATGCCACGTGGAGATTGGTCTGGTTCATCTCTGCAGATGTTCCGTGAAGAAAAGAGATATCTGTAACAAAGGCGAATTTTAAGTTGAATGTTTTTCAAATATGTGAATAATGAGCCTCCCCCCTAGCATGTAAAAAACCCAAAGGCACTCGCCCCTCAGAAGGGTCACAAACGGTAACATAAAAAAATTTACAATATTTTTGGGCCCCTCCCCAAAGATTTGTAAGACCCCCCCTAAAAAAATGGTTCATGATCTGCCCTTAAAAAGATTGGCCTCAAAAGTCAAATGTATAAGTGAGAATAACGCCCCTGCAAATGGTGTCTGGTCGCTCAGAGCCAACTCGCCCCATTTCTCGATTTTTTTTATAATTCCAAGTGGCTTTAACATTTCCAGTCAGAAATTTGTCAACAGGCACCTACATGGTAAATAAAACCAACAGATCAGCACAATCCGTTTTTTCTTTCATCAAAACTGTTCGCCTCTTAAAGGCTTAGTTATTACTCGTCGAGCGCACAACCTTCACGTGCTATGCGGCTACCGTGTTCACAATGAAACACCATCCCGTTATGTTTGTGCCGCTTTAGGCTGTCCCGTGGATGGCCTTGAAGCTGTTATCCCCAATTGCGTAATTGCTTGAATGAATTGTACGCCCCTCCCCCCCCAAAAAAAAGTGGACAACAAAAGAGCTCCATTTCCAACCACGACAATTAAGCGTACGCCTACAAGTTTTATAACCTCGTTGCCTCAAAGCGAGTTACGGAGCTCTGAACGCGCCATTCAATTTGTTGAGATCTTGACGTAATCAGGGTGACATTACAGGCAAGACGTCGAAATCCTGATTTAATGTTTAACGAGATGGTCATGATTTCAAGATAATTTATTGAAAGATGACAACGTGAAAATAGGAAGTCGACATCAGGACATACAAGAATAAGACATTTTCAAGTTGAAAATAAGACGAAAGATTCCTGAAATAATTTATAACGGGATGACGCTTAACGACATCCTCAGAGTAGGATGCCAACATCTTAGATAACGTTTCATTTCCTTCCCTGATATTGTCATCCCCTGGTTAAATTATCTAAGGGTGCCGACAACCCACTCACATGATGTTAAGTATCATCCTGCGATAAATCATGTCACAATGTGGTCGTCCTGTGATTTATTTCAGGATGTCCTCATTCTATGACGAATCGTCTCAGGATGTCGACTTTCTACTTTAAGGTTGTTGTCATTCCTTGGCAAGTCAAATCGGGATGTCGACATCGTGTCTGTAATTATGTCGTCATCCTGAGATAAAATATATCAGGATCGCAACAAGTCGGATGGCACTTCCAGAGTTCCGTAGGGAGCCCTTGGACGCCTATGGCACCCTCGTGTTACACCACAGGGTATCTGATTGCCCTGAAGAGGTAAAAAGATTTTGTGTGACAGTAACACAATTAGTCATTAATAAATTGTCGACGGTAAGGCCACTTGTAAATATCTCTTTTGAGAAGTGTGGCTGTTAGAGGAGCGGTTTCTCAACTTTTCAAGTTATGTCCTCTGACGTCAGTCCTCCCAACGACACTTGAGTGGTATTTCCACGGTCCAAAGCTACAAATTCTACAAAAAAGTAAAGCGTTTCAACCATTGGTAAACCGCATTATATTTTGTGCCAGTATTGGAAGTTAGATGAGGGTCTTCGGGTAATCAGACCCAATGAGGTACGGTGCTCCCACTTTCAAAATGCCCTGCCACCACCATAGTTACTCTTTCTGGCTATAATCAAACTTAGACTCCGTTGGACTGTCTCACGATTTACTTACAATAAAGCACGACACAAAGGGCCACAAAACTCTTCATCTTACTGAAGTCTTAGTGTCAACTTCTTCCACGCACGAGCACACGACTTACAATCCAAACCGCAATGGTGGAATCTCAGGCTGGAACTGTACTGAATCGATCTTTTAACACTGAAAGTACCTCACGATATTACCACTTATCTCCCGTCTTCCACTTGACAGGTTTTTCTGAAAAGACGATACGTCACAGAGCAGACATGTTATAACTTATTCATGAGTACCTTTGAAATCTTTGATAATGCAGGCATGGTCAGTCGTCTGCGACTGTTGTTTTGTCATGGTAAACCGGGACATGTGACATAGCCTGAACAGTCCCCCCTCCCGTCGCCTATCATAGAAAAGACCGATTAGAGCTGTTCATTCGCCAGTAAGGGGTTGTGAAGCTTAAATGTTGAAGTCTATGTTTTTGCATCTAACTAGAATACTTTTCCTACCATTCCAAATTTCATGATGCATTACAGCATTCATAAAACCAAACAAAAAGGTACACAAATAAAACGAAACAACCTTTAGTGCTCGCATTGTGCCTACTGTATCTTTCGACCGAATTAATTTAGCAAGATCATACTGACGTAAGTGAAGTATCCCTTTCAGGTATCTTGAGGGATGATTCCAAGTTTTCTTTTCATTTCATTTCCATAGTGTAAAATACAATCATAAATTATACAAGGATCGATAACGAGAAACGTTCCACAATACACAAGAACAATATATAAGCCTAAGAGAGACATGATGTACGGTCATGTATGGGCAAATACTGACGCATGTTCAAACATATCTTTGTAGAAATGCCCCTTTAAGAGAAAAACCGGAGAAACCAAACTAACGATGACTCGTACAAGAAAACCAAAGAACGGAACACAAGCAATGAACAAAACAATAAAACGGACAATGGCTGAGATGAAAAAATGCTAAAAAAAGAAGGAGATATCTCTGATAACCACAGACAAGGTGGTTTTATAGAGGTTCTTAAAACATCCCATAGATGACCGTGACTTAATGTTAACGTCGATGCTATTCCAAAGACTGGGTCTATTGAATCTCATTACATTCAAAGAAAGGGCAGAAATAGATTGCGACGTGCTCTAGTTCTGTGGCTACAAACAGAAGGAACTGAGGTGACGTGAAGACCGAAAAACCGGGGAAGAAGGTTACACATGTACGTGAAAAACCCTGTGTGGTGTTTGTTAAAGGTTCGATTAATTTGAGGTGATGTTATCCCAGGAAGAAAGCCTCAATGTTATACACTAGCTTGCATACAAAATAGCCCTGCAGATTTGTAGATTTTGCTGGATCACTAGGGAATAGTGGTCCATGGATTTTCGCAAAACAAATTTATTGCTTTAACAAAACGAGCTGCGCCTTAACTGTTAGAAATGAAGAGCACAGACTAAATTTTCTCTTCTTTGCTGAGAACAATCATACATCAATCCCTTTACCAGAAATGCTTCCAGTAAGCAAATTCTGGGTTCACAACACGAACAGAAGGACCTGTGCATGCACTGAACTATTTAAAGTCACCACTGGATGGTCTCACAGAAACAGCGCCCTCAAAATAATAGACAAGGTGGAAGAAAAGAGCGAAGTTTAGGTAAGACCCCAATGTTACGAGAATTGACCTTGGAAACCAATGAAATGCGGTCATCCCAGCTGAGTTTTTCCATCAACGATGACACCCCTTACAGTTCGTTGAACAGGCAACAGAAATGGGGGTATTGTCGATGCTGACGGAGGATCAAAAGCAGGTAACAGCTAGATCTGTTGAAGGTACATTTGGTTGTAATGGAGCCCAAAGGATGTTGATTAGATTTCAGCCAGGAAGAAATTTTTGATAAGCCCTTTGTAAAGAGTGTATTACTTCAGTTACTTGTCAGTGCAGTTGTCCCATTCAAAAATCATTTTCACACAAAGTATTATAGCGAAGTAGGCCCAGCACACCATATCTGCAGACACTCTGCTTCACAACAGTTTCCCTCTTGTTCAGTCGATGACAGCATTGTGAACCTGTCTCTAGCGTTGTCATGGATACCACATCCGGTTCTCATGGCACTTTACTGGGTTAATCCTACTTGATGTCAAAAGGACCCCACTTTGAAACAGATTCCCAGTCTGTTGTAAATACCCTATACAGAAATCTTGAGGCCTCGTCTCGAACACTTCAGAATCGAACCTGAAAAGCTTCGGACAAACGCATGTATATCGAAAAGGCCCTAGGCTTTGAGGGGGGAAAGGATTTCTAAAAGTTGCGTAGAAATGCCTAGCATGAATGCAAGCTTTGCCAAAATGGACTTCTTGTGTACACGGCTACTGAATATCCATCAAAAATAATTATAATTTCTTTTCCTTTGGGGAAATGATACAGTTGCAGGCTTTTCCAAAGTAAATGGAGATCACAATCGCAGACTATGAATTAAAACACTGCAAGAATGCAAACTGTTGGTACCCTTCAGCACGGGCCTATTTGATGGTACATGTATAATTGCTTTGTATAGTGTCCCTGATACGCTGGTTCATTACACTTTTCTTAACTCATTGCGACTGTCCGACCGTGATTTCTTACAATGATCAAGCAATGTTGTTGAAGGGTTTGATCTACTGTATAGGGTTCCATTGTTGAATTATTATTCATAATACCTAAGACATTTTAGTCATTCTTACTGGTCGAGAGCCTGTTACGAAGCCGGCCTTATAAACGGTTGATAAAACACGTAACTAGTTGGCTGGTCTTAAACACTTCTCTGGCGTCACACGGATTCAGATTCCAATGAAATCTGGCCACGTTTCCCTTGTACTCGTTGAATATTCACAGGTTTAGCTGTGTTGAAATTCATGCACATTACTATCAATCAATTCTCATCTCTTCAAGATGATGGACACGTCATTCTGTCAAACACAAACTGACGGCCGGCGTGGTGACATTTCCTAATTATAAAACAGGTAAAACACCTGCGCACCGTATTTCCATAAAAGCACGGGTAAATTCCTTTGCCTTTGCGGTGGCGCTGACAGATGGACACCAACGTTGCCGGTCGTGTTTCCTCACAGGGACGATGTTGACACAACACTGCAGCTAGTTATAGCCGACACCAGCCGGCCGCACGTTGATCGGAGTATCGATTACTGAAACTTGATCGTCGTATCGACACAGGCGACCCCCACCTAGAGCCAACTTGCAGTTCACAAGGGCTGGAGACCCCTTGTTCGTGCTTTTCTCAG